ACGGCTTGTTAATATCGTAATATTATAATTATTATATAAAAAAAGAGAATAAAACCTCATTGGTCATAATAATGCTGGATATAAGATTTAGGTGGTTGGCTTTTACGTAAATAAAAACAACTCGATTCCACATCATTATATATTGTTGTCATGGATGCGGAAATAAAAAAATAAATACATTGAAGTCACTACATGGAATCACAAGTTCTGGTGGCTTCTAACGTAAATAAAACTTGTTTTAAGGGAAAAAATATATTATTTATAATATATGGTTCACTTAAAGTATTTTTTTTTAGTTCGTAAAACAAATTGTAAGTTAATATTAGTACTGCTAGATTTTTTATGCTTATGCATTAGTGTAATATGGTATATGCAATTAGTGAAGAGATGATAATGAGATCAATAGAATTTATTGCTGAGGATTAATATAATATTATATATAAAACTAGCTATTGCATGCGGCGTTGTTTTGATAATCCCGCTTAGCTTAATCAAAACTTGTTGATTTAAATTACGAAAGTAGACTGAATCTGTACTCTTAAAAAAACTTTGCTTACACTGAAGTTAATATTATTTTGTACTAAGTTTTTTTGAATAAGAACTTATAAATAAGAAGTAAGATAGGATTTCATTAATCATTGAACTCAAAATAATAAGAAAAAATCATCTTAATAAGCCTTTACAAATCAGTATTTCCATAGAAAATCAAATGCATAGGTAGATAGCCTATAAACACTTTTCTGATAACATTTTACGAATTTAACAAGCAATTTTCTTAAGAACTAATATCTAATGTTTTTGTCGATTTCACTAAAATTTTTCTTACACAAAAGTCGAAAGTCTTTTAAATATAATAATTGTTTTGGTTTCAGTATAAGTTATAGAAAACTAACATTTATATACATTCTATAGAGTGATAATGCCCTAAGCTATTTACTATGAATTTTTATTTTGCTATTACAGAAATGCAATTAAATAAAGATAACTAAAGGATTACAAAGATAAAATATGCAACAATTATAGTATTGTAGACTTCCTTTCATAGATTATATTACTAGTTATTGTGATCGCAAAAATATTATACATATTTATGTTAATCTTATGTTTAACATTATAATTCAAAGAGAAACTATAATAACATTTATCATATGTAATTATTAATTCGCTGTATAATCACTACATATGATATTGAGTGCCTTCAAAAGAAAACATTACTTTTCAAGAATTTAAAAGCAATGATAAAATTTTTAAATTGCTTTTAAATTCATGAAAACAAATGCTATGTTTCATTTAGTATATCAATAAGTTAAATCAATGCTAAAAATCTCACAACTCGTCTGCCCGTGATCGCGGTTGCTGTAAAGTAACCGAAATGTCTTGAGTATGGAGTTTATAATAAAAAATCGCGTAGTAAATCCGAAAATATTAGTTTCATTTAAATGATAAAGATCGTTTATATATTTTTATAAGTAAATGTATGTGTTTTATTTATAATTATAAAATAATAAATAAATACACATGTCTCAAAGGGTTTTATTTACTTCCTGGTGGAACATTTCCATTTGAGTATATTCATTTATAATATGAGTGTTCTGTTTGGGTTGATAAATATATTACGGGTTCTAAGAACCTTATTATTATTCATGTTACAAAACATGTTTTCATAAACTAGTTCAAGCAGCAATAATAAAAGCCTAGTCTTCAACAATAATATGATTCCAATTTTGTTAAACAAAAAATAACCGGTTATTTTGGTAATTTTCTGCAGTTTTTTGTCATATATTCTACGATGTATATAACTAAGCCACTATATATAATATCGTTATTTACATCGGAATATAATGATGAATTCGTATGAGAAACAATATAAAATCCCAGAGGATATTTGAGAGTCGGCGCCAGAATAGACATATTTTTGTAAACGCGAATTTTAAATCGTGTTTTGTTAATGGAGCTCATGTTTCCTTGGGAAACTAACGTCCCCAAAGACCATACCATCAAGGTCAACAAGTATTAAGAGCTCACTAAATAACTCACTAAGAATAAGTTTATCTCAAAATTACTTCAGGGTAGAAGTGGGAGCGAGAGGTATAACAGCTAAATCTCTCTACAACCTACCTAGGGTTAGAGCCTGTCCATAACTATAAATCAATCTATTCTTAGAACGTACTTCGAAGCTAGCTGCAGTAGGGTCCTTCCAAATTTGGTTAAATAGGGATATCTTAAACGGTAGTAAATCGTTTAAGGCGCGGTAGATAGGCGCCACTTAAACCTACGCCTGGATCGTAAGCCCCAGGCACAGTTGAAGCTCCTCTCCCTGCAGCGCGATGGCCCCGACACCCTCAAGGTGAATCCATTAATGCTGAGAGTTTTCATCTCTCTCTACGTTTAAGAGATAGTAATGAGAACAACTCATCTTTTTATCTCACTGTTTTTGGTGCATTTCTCAGATCGTTATTTTTTTGTTGAAAAAAAATATTTTTAAAGCGTTCTTACTTCTCATGTTCAACTAAAAAAGCTTAAAAGTTTTTGACAAACATCATTCCTGCAAAAAATAATAAAATACTACCCAATTAATAATGTCGCTTTCAACTAACGAGCATTTATGACAAATTTATTTTAAAGATATCTCCTATTATAATATATTTAAAAGTAATAATATTACATACTCACATTATTAAAATGTCACAAGAAATGTAAAACACGTGAGCCGGAATATATTTTTTATGTTTATATTTTACTTGACATTCTCTAAGATTGACTTTTGTTGTTATTTTAAAGTGAAACATTTCCGGATTTCCTTCCGAGGTTGATACGTGAAGGTTTTCGACCTATCAAAATACCACGGCTCCTTGCTCATTAATTAGGACCTTTACACTGTAACTTTGACCGGATTTATATGCTCCTGTCAAATATTAAAAAAAAAACAATCCTTACTCTCTTAATATTATTTCCGATACTTTTTTCTTATTTTAGGTAAATTTTTACGCATGTTGGGTTATATTATATTATCTCATAAAATGTTTTGATTTATTTACAGCTACTCATATATTTTTTTACGTAGTGGAGAAAGTGACTGACTCTTTTTTTCTAAGCCTGTCTTTTACTTTTCTTTTTGTTACGTTAATCTGTACCTGAAAATCATACAAAGGTGAATGCTCTGAAATATCTTAATGTATTTTTTTTTCTGTTTATTAGATAACAAATTTTTACTTAGAAAAAATAATACATTTTCACAAAAGGAGTTCTTACAAAAAAGTTTGAAGAAAACAGCTTTATTTTTTTATATTCTATTTTTCTAAACACACTGTACATCCCGTATTTAGAAAAATAGAAAATAATCTAAATATGAATGATATAATACAATATTATTTAATATATAATATAATATTATGTACGTATAAAATCCTGAGCGATTATAATTATTTATAGAATTAAGTTAAACTGTTTCGACGACCATAAATAAAGTTTTAAACTTCACGCATATCAAATGCATTGTCTTATAATGACCACCCTGACATTTTAAGCCGGAAACAGATACGCCATTAGGGAGATGATAATACATGAAACGATTTTCATATAAACGTTTTGATATGAATAATAATTGTAAAAAAATAATTATTGAAAGCTTTGAATTGGAAACAAAAATATTCCGAGTAATGTTTGCGAGTTGTTAGCGAAGTAATGAGACGGAAAATTTGGATTAAATCCTCATTCAGTTTTGATGATTATATATTTAATATATATACATTTATCAGTGGTAGCCTAGTGGTTAAAAGGCCCGCCTCTCATGCATGAAGGCGATGCTTCGATCCTGGCAATTACCAATGTGATTTTTCCAAGCCATATGTATTTTCTAAGAGTATTTAGACATTACTGATTAATGCATTCCCAAAGAGGGTTGATGTCAGGCAGGCGGCCGGTCGTAAAAACAATTAGCCAAAACAATTCACAACATGTAAGGCAGACCCTGGCTAAAGCTGAGAAATTGCTAGGTAGAAGATATATTATGTGAAATAATGTTTACACTTAATAACCTTTATAATTTAGGTGGTTGACGTAATTTGATTTTAATTAACAGTTTAATTTCAAGAGTTTAATAAGATCAAAGAAACCACATATAAGTAAATATTTATATTCAACTAATAATTCTATGTAATAAAGGCAGTTCTACAATTAATGAACTTTTGAAAAGAAAGATATTGATAAGATATTTTTTTTAAATTAATTATTAAAAATATTCCATATCATTCAATAAAGTTATCTATTTTAAGACCAAATTACTTCAAATGTTATTCTTTCATTTAAAAAAAAAACACGATTATTATTTGTATTACTTTTTTAATTCTTAAGATAAAACTTGTAATCGTTCAGAAACGTTCAATATCTCGACAACATTATTCCTTTTAATATTAATGAAATAAAATATTTCTATTATATGAATATATAATATATAGCCATGATTACATGGTTGGCTTTTTCCTGTTATAGAAAGAATATTTTGAAGAAATCCATAAGTGAACTTCTCGAAGATTATTGTAAATGACATTAGTTTTTGTAAACGAAAAAATAGACTATTATCTTACGTACTCCTAATACAATTAATAGCCTAATATCTGATGGTCTAATTACTTTGTATTTCGTCTAATGAATTAACATCATTTAATTAATATCATCCAGATTCTAGAAGGTTATACAATTTTTATCACAAAAAAAAATCAATACAAATATCATCTAACAAAACCATTTTGGATATTGACGTCAAAATATACCACAGATGTGCAAAAAAATTATATAGATTAAAAAAAAATCGGCGGAGTCTTCACAAAAAAGGTCGCATTAAATCGTAGCTAACATTATTTTCCTTCGTTCACCTTGATAACAATATCATCACCTATATAAAACTATTCGTTGTCATCAAGTCGTTCAGTGCTCGTTCCGTCATACATACAGACATACGTGTAGAAAAAAATACATATATTATACAGGATATAAAGAAAATGGTTCACTTAATAAATATTGTATTGTTCACTGTGTTTAGTGGAAGCGTTTACGCTGTTATACGTAAGTCTTTAAAATTATATTAGAAATTAAATTATTTAATTAAAAAAAAAAAATAAACTCCACAACTCTTTCGTAACTCAGCAGCATTGTTTATTACAAGCTTAAGATATTAAAAAAATAATAAGTTATGCTTCTTTAGGTAAAAAACAATAAAGAAACCATTATAAATAAAAGAATTGTCGACTATTTAGTTTAATTATACTAATAATAATAGCTTACATTGGAAGTTGAATATAAAACAATAATTAATAATTGCTTACTTATTTTATTCATTTATGCACATATAATTGTTTTTTTTTGTTATAGTACTGTTTACATTAAGATCACGATCTCATTATTCAGTGTAGTCAGCATATTTATAGTGTACATAAAATTAAACATATTTATCATACAAATGTTGAATTAATATTATTTTTATCATATAACATATCTAAAGAAACAAAGGAGGTTGTATAAGTATATTGACATAAAAATAAATCCTCTTAGAAAATAATTGTATTATGCAAATGTATGCACTAATTGATTCACTTGTATTGTTTTAAAACCGGACCTCACAACTTAGAGTACACGTTTTTTCCATTTCATTTATGTTATATTTAATTACTTTATCGCTAAAAACGTAATTTTTTTCATATGTTTAATAGACATTGACTCATCTATTGGTAATCTTTTAATTTGATTATCAATTAAGGTGTTAAATTGAGATCATGTTTTGATCTAAGCCTTTTGTTAAACGCACGGAATTCAACTTCCAATGAACGCTATTATTTAAATAATAAATAAGATAATATTGATATCAAGTAATGGACTATTTTATTATTTATGATAGTTTTTTGATTATTTTTATATTAACTTTGACTTTAAACCTATAATCATATGAAACTTCTGTTTTAACGTGAATAACAGAATATATATATACACAGTATACAGTAGATTCTCTGTTTTAAGAAGTCTAGATAAATAGCATGTGTTTTATGAATAAAAGGACTCGATTTATATAAAATCAAAATACTTATTTATAGCTTTTTATATATTTTTTTCTTTAATTAATCTAACTAAATTTATAACATAATTTATCGAATTAAATAAATTAAAGGTGTTTCGTATCAAAATTATCTGTGCTATTTCAGTTTAAATCCACTGAGAAATTTTAAAATATGAATATAATTTTCAATTATTTCATTTTCAAAGAGTCTCTTTTTTAATAAGTGTATTTTAATTAATTCGTGTTTAATAAGTGTATAATTCCTTGAATTTTTATAATTTCCATATAAAACAAGTCCAATCGATCCAATTAATCAAAATTCAATAACTAGCAGATTACATTGAAACACAACTAGGCTTATCTAATGAAATTTAATGCTGAGAAATCGCCAACAACCATCAAAATATTCGCCACGAATTGACACGGCCTTCGTATAAGTAACTTGACATTTTAAATTCAAGGGAGCACGATAGTTACTTAAATAATGGAAAAAATATATAAATATTTATTATTATTTTATAATACGTACACTTTATTGTATATAAAACGTTTTCGCATTGACGCAAATACAAATTATAATCTCGTGTTATAATAACATAATATAATATAATGGAATTAAAACTTGATTATTTAATATTTGAAACTGGTACAGGAGTGTTTCCTGTTATCCTACAAACGAGTCAAACGAGTTCCGACCTGATTAAAAATATTACAAATGAAAATAGTCTTCATTGATGGCTCTATTACCGGAATATTTTGCGTTTAAGACGGATAAAAAAAGATTAATTTATTTATATAGATATTTTTTTATGATTTCTTTTAAATTATTTATTTTAAATATAGTTATTAGGGTCTCGTAAATGTTGAAAAACTGTTTAACTTTTTTCGCTATGAAAATTTAAATATGTAAAAAATGTAAACTATTTCAAAATAAGTCATATACATAATAAATTGTATTGTTATATTTGAAATCAATATAATATGCATAATTCTTCTCCCGGTTCTTATTTACAAAACATCTTAGGAATGTGTAAAGTTTATCATGTATGGATTTAGTTAGATAGAATCTAAAGCAACTAGTTTTTTAGTTATTATTATTAGTAAGTAGGTATAGCCTATATATTATTATTGGCATATTATATGTAGGAACCAAATTATCAATTCATTTGTATCCTAGAGTTTCAAATCAATAGCGCATTGTAGATGTTTATTACTTCTTTATTAAATTCTTTCTTGAAATGAAACTTGGAAAAAACTGACAATAACGAAAATAATTTGTTTTTAACGAAATAAAAAAGTTGTCATAATAAATATGGAACATAGAATATTAACTAATTAGTCTCTAATTAACCTGGTATTGAGAAAAACGAAATGGTCGGTATATATTTATACATGTATAATAGATTAAAGGCCAAAGATGATTATTTCGTATAGATATTTGTTTATTTTTTGCTGAGACTTTTATAAATATTTACATAGATATTTATTTTGATTCTATTACATTACTACTTTAAAAAAATGAATAGCATAACCTATGGCTGGACTACATATGTATTTAAAAATAAATTAGGTACCTCCTTTAAAATAAGTTTGAAAGGCGCTTATTACAAATGAATTTAGATTCCAATGCTTGTTATTTAATCTTAAACGAAGATACTAAAACAAAACTTATTGTCATAATACATTTTAATGAATATAAGAAAACATAATATCTTTTTAATTACAACTGTTGGTTGACACGTAATAAAATAGGTCTCAGTACGTTCAAAGCGCTGCCAATAGCCAATTCCATATAATTCTATATTATTACTTGATCATTGGCCATTTGCTTACAACTTTTGTTTATGCGATAAACGCTTCCGCCATACCTCATGATTATATCATACGAGTAATATTTAAAGTATTACTATGTGTTGTATTTATTTATGAAGTTGTTTATAAATTTATTTTGTTTTCTATTAAGCATTTTAATAATTAAGTTTGAATGATTGATTCCTCAAAGAAGCAAATAAGTTCACTGCATTTTATACCTTTGAGGCTAGCTATATAAAGTACTTAATTGAAATGCTTTTTTTTGTTTCCAGCTGATTACATTAAAGTTTGCAAGCGTGAACAAAGCACTATCAATGAGTGCGTTAAGAATTCAATCTACAGCATCCGACCAAACCTCATCGCTGGCATACCAGAGTTGAACGTACCACCTCTAGAACCTTTTTACATACCCGAGGTAAGAAATAAGTATTATTGAGACTTAAATTATTCTTCTTCTACCTGGCAATTTTCCAGCTTTAGCCAGGGTCTGCCTTACAAATTTTGGCTAATTATGAAACTTATATTATTGAGATTATATTATATGAAATTAATAGTTTGAGGATACTACTAAAATTACATACTCCCGACGTTTCGGTTACTTTTCAGCAACCGTAATCACGGGCCCGTGTTGAAAGTGACCGAAATGAATATAATGGTGTTAGAATAATAAAATACACGTATTTAATTCAAAATATATTAGTTTAATTCAAATGAATAATCGTAAGTCTTAGATTTCATTAAATTAAAAGTTTTGTTTAAATATTTCCTATTAAATTTAATAAATATAAACTGCTTACATATTTATAGATTCTTTTATAAAAAACGGTATGTTTACTATCGGAAAATTTTATAGACAATTATTATTATTATAGCTTTGGTATAAATTAAAAATGTGTCTGCATTGATATAAAAGTCGTTAATAAAATAAGTATAATATGAAAAATAAAATAAAATGATTTCTTTTCTTAAATTCGTTTTAATAAATATTTCAAGGGAAAAGACTTGCTTTAACTTTTAATGTTTATAAAAAAATTTGGTCATAAAATTCATAAATGGCTTATAACTCATTTTTTAAATCTATAACTCTCTTCTTTATTTCTCTCCGAAACCGATTTTTTGTTAAAATACTGAATTTTTAAAATCATATTTGACTTATATGACGTGTACTTAATAATTACCGATACTTATAATGATGTCCTAAAAAACTCTGATTCCGATTTAACAGAAATCGATAATTACATCACCAGGATACGGGATTATCATAAAAAAACAAATCTAACAATACAATTGTCTATTAATTCATGAAATTAATTGATTGAACGCTTGCATTCTCTTAGTGGTTTATTTTCATAGTTATGTATACATATGTAAAACGTAATCATGGGTAACAGATGAATAGAACATACAATGGTACAAGCGTGTTTCAAAGAAACACATTGTGTAATAATTACAATGTTAATAATAATTTAATATTCTTATAAGGATCATATGTCAACATATAACTAGTTTTTTTATTAGAAAAACCTTATTTATATATAAATGATTTATGAAGGTTCAACCTTGGTTCATCGGTGTTGGGGTTCGTAAAAAATAGTCAAGCTTGATTAAAGAACATGATTTAAATTTTTTTTGTAAGTACAAATTAAAGTTTGGGTCATTCCAAACACAAGAGATTAATATCCGACCGGTTATTTACGTATTTATTTTTAATAGATTCTATTTTTATAGTGTAATCATCATGAAGTAAAAAAACATAAAAGTACTCCCTTATAACGAGTTTTGTGTGATAAACCTGATACTGACAGTTTGTTGTGCGCACGTGATTCAATTCATACTAATCGATTTAATTCAATTTATACGATTATTATCTAATGCTTCATGAATTAAGAACGTAGAAATAAAATTTGAGATTTTATGTACAGTTATTATGACTACAGGAAGAAAAATATATCATATAAGTTAATTCCTTGTACGAGTTAGAACATAAAAAACTTTGTTATAGAATAAAATAACGATTACACATATATACCTAATGTTTTACTGAAGGAAATTTATATTGTGTACAACTTAAAAAAAAACAATTAAGCCAATTTCAATATTTACCACGGATAATGTAGTAACAAAATCCTATTTTTTCAGATCGTCGCTGTCAGCGGGGACTTGCTTCCATTGAAAGCATCTGGTAAAGATGTTAGGGTATCTGGCGCTGGGAACTTTACTATAAAGAGTATTGAGTAAGTACCTGAAGTAGAAATTATTATAAACTTTCCGTTAATAAGTTCACTTAGATTATATCATATAAAAACATCACTAATACTATTAATACGTAACTTTTTGAGTGTATGTATGTATGTTTGTTGTCATTTATTTTGTTGTATTTTTTAAAACTTTACGTAAGATCTAGGTAAAATGTTGAAAAATTGCAAAATCCGCGCGAGATCACGCCATTATAGTTGTTTTCAAAATTAGCCTATAGATGTCACTACTGGTTAGTTAAAAGAACTGTATTTTTAATACAGTGCTTTGTAAGCATAATTTTGAAGTCCTAACTTGTGAAGTCTCAAGTAAGAAGTTATCATAAATTAAGGCCAATTTAGTTTAACATTGAGTTTATTTTATAAATTATCTGAAAACTTTAACGCCATCTGTCACACATTAATTTAAAATGTTTGTGAATTCTGTTTGTTCTTTAAAGAAACTTGTTTTTCTTTTTAGTTCAAACTTATAAGAGTAGATGGCACTGTTATTAAAAAATACTGTAGAATAGAAAGTATGCTTTAAGATGTAATATTTATCTTCTAAAATATAATAATGTAAATGACTTTTATAGACAATTTTAAATAATTAGCAAGTAATTATAATAAATATTTTCATCGTGTTATATATTAGGTGTTCTAAAATCGAAACTTAAGTTCGATTAATAAAAGAAATAAAAAAACGAGCGAAGGTAGCTAAATAAAACCACTTTTATACGAAAATGTCATCACTATCTCTTTTACGATTTATTTTAAATCCTTTTAGTATTATTAATATGTAATTAATTTTATGTAATATTTTGACAGTGTCGACGTAGATACTCTCTTGATTCGGGGTAAAGTACGTTTCCCACGCCTGCATCTGGACGGTCGCTACAACCTCGACACTCAGATACTCATCGTGCCTTTGAGAGGAGAAGGGAATCTGGTGGCTGACGCTAGTATGGATTTACTTAATTTATATAGAATAGTAAAACATTATATACAAAGTTAATATGTAGATTTGGTTTATATGAGACATAGTATATACATATAGCTGCTAGAAGTTGGAGAATTGTTATAACACAGGCCATATAGTCAGAGATTTTAGTACAATAATGTTTAAAAATTTTTGGCTGCTTGATTTTCAGAGCTTTACGATTTTAAAAGAATTTTCTTGGCATCATACTGTATAACAAAGAAAATACGTATTAAGGAAGAAAAGTCTCCAATAATATAGGATAGTTTCTTCAATCAATGGTAATGTTTTCAGTAAAATGCGACGCTGACGTAGTTCTGAAGACAGAGATCTACATGAGGGATGGAGTGCAATACTTGAAGTTCACCAGTCTCACTGTGGACATCGTCATCAAGGATTACCGTATCAGGCTCGATGGACTTTTCAATGGAAACAAGGCTCTAGGTTTGTATATTTTCAACAACTTTCTGACCCAATAATATGGTCATCATAGACACATTTTTTGTATATTATATGATAGATTAGTACTAATCGAGACACGTATAAGTTGGATAAAACTATAATATAATATTCATTCATCCATTTATTGTATGTCTTTAAGTGTAAAATTATAGACGAATTTATAGTCATTTATTATATCATGAGAATAGAAAATGAATCTTCGACCGTAGGTATCTAAGGTATAGATTTGCTAAAATGTCTGATACGGTTACAGGAGATGCAACCAATGAAGCCATAAACCAAAACAGAGGAGAATTCTTGAAGACAATGCAGCCTTACATAGAGAAAACAGTCGCCAAGATATTATTAGACGCGGCAAACAAGATAGTATACAACCTTCCATTAGACGAAATGTTACCTAAAGCTTAGTTTTTATAAGAGATTTAATATATTTATATAGAATAAGATAACCGTTTATATTGTTAAATCATCACAAATGTTTTCAGCTTAAAGATCTTTAAACATAATACATATGTACAATCTATTCCATGTAATCAGCGTTATATTAAAAATCCAATGATAACATTTGTTACAAAACGAAATTACTAGTTGTTATGTACATTGCATTAGTTATTTAATATTTTCGAACACCGAAATGACCCTAATGTTTTTTCTACGTAATTTTTTTTACGTAACCATTTATTTCGGCAACGTATTATATTACGTGTTATAATAATTTTGTAACGATAATTACAGTTACAGACAATTGTATTTATTTAGTTCCAGTTGTTTGAAATTTATTATTTATTGTAAATAATTAATAATCTTTATATTCATGCCTATAATAAAATTATTGTTTTAATATAAATTTGAGTTTTACTTTACATCATTGAAAGAAAAGACTTTCCTTCCTTTTTATCAAGTTCTTATTAAACTTTGTTATATTAATAAATTCAGTACCATTTGTATTTATTAAGCATATAATAAAGCTGAACTTTAATCTTTTGTTTTGAAATCCACAAAGGCAACTCACATTTCCGTAAGATATTTAAATTTAGCGAACTTGAATTAATACTTTAAGCTTATTTGTTAGACGATGGGGCAGTAAAAGAAATTAAAAATCAAATTGAGAACTAGCCAGTGAAAGGTTATATAGTTTATTTTATTTTTACACCTACTTCTAGTTTCATAAACCTTGGATAACGTTTTCTAATCTAATTCGCGGATAATGAATTCCTTTGGTTCGCATCCTACCAGCCGTCCGTAGTGCGTAACACCCGGTTGGGAAATATGTATGATTATAATGTACTGAAAACCAGCAAAATATGTGAGTATATACAAAGTTTTGAAATTTTTATTGTACTTGTCTGCTGAACAAAATTCTGTTTGAATTGTTGACTATTTTCTGTCTACGGGTTTACCTGAGCTTCTGTCCTTGTCTACACTGTTACCTAATATATATGTACGTATGAAAATTTAAAGACTATTTTTACAGTGAGAAGGCGGGACAGATTTTTTTTTAAGTAGTGAAGACAAACGTATTGCATTTTAAGTTAATTTTTTTATTACACACAATTTTTTTTTTAAATATATACCCGGCAAACGTTCTTTTACCAAATCAAAAATAGAGTTCGGTGATAAAAAAGTAAAAATTTAGAGTTGTATGTATTTTTAATACTACATTATTAAAACACGGCGACACAAGAACTTTATATAAAAGATATATTTTCGGATTACAATGCTTTATTTTATTACTTTTAAAACTTACATTCTTCCTACGTTTCGCTTACTTTGCAGCAACCGTGATCACGGACAGACGAGATGAAAATTTTCCATTCTTCAATTATAGCTGTCGTTGGCGAGAAAATGTAAATACTATCAACTACATTTAGAATGGATAATTTGTAGAAGGTTAGTTACAATCTAGATCAAATGACCATAGTGAAAATTTATTTGGCGTTTCAAAAAATTTTAAATTCTTAAAAATTATTGATACTAGAAATATCTTATTTTAATAATAATATAAATATAGGTAATCATATATTAATGATTCTAGCAAAATTTTGCAAAAGAAAAAAGGTTAATTTTAGATTTAAATTGAACTTACATAAGTTCTAACACTCTGAGCGTGTGTTATGTGTACGTTTAACATTCCTAACCCGCAAAAAAGTGTAACTGAATATGACAAACTGTATTTAGCACTTGTGGAATGATAAAATCATATACATTAAGATATTTATAAGATATTTTCATTTAAATTTACTGAACGACCAAATAAAGTAATATCAGATTTATGAAAAACTTAGCAATATGTTTAAAATAAATATAAAATTATAAGAGTAAATAAAAAAAAACAAGAATTTTTATTCAACCAAAAACGCCCAAACTTAATTGAATAGAATTATTCAATTTTTTTTATATAATTAAGATGCTATTTATTCTTAATTTTGACATTGACAACAATCATGAACTTCCACATATATATGAAAGCCACTAAGAGTTATAAGTACAGTAATTCGTGTTATTGTTTGATGATACTTACGTAAAGGTGGTGAGATCTTATTTCTACAGTTGCCAATATACGCCGGATCGCCTTGACCAGTTGCTTCATAGTCACAGCGCCACTCGCTGACGGAAACGGAATTCATGCCGCTACTATACCCCTGAGATCCAAAAAATTGATCTTAGATTTATACCATGTAGGTATTTATACCAAAAACTTATAAGTTTGATACCAAAAAAGTCATAGTAATTGTATTTGTTTTGTTCCATTTTGGGCTTAAAATGTTATATTAAGAGAATTAATCGTGGTAATTTAATAAATATATTCTTTTTGTACATAACTATGTTTGTTTTATATATATTTATATATAAAGGGTCAATCTTCATGATTGTAAAGGTTTCCATCTCTGATAGATATTAGCAACGTGAAAGGAAACGCCAATGTGTCCTTTGTTCTATATTTGGAATAAAAAAACATTTTTATTGAATTCTTATACACCACTACCTTTTGGAACCACCTAGACGATGTATACACATATAAGCATTTGTAAAAGATCAGTTAACATTCTCTATGAGGCCATATCACAAATGTAAATTTTATTCAAGCAGACTTCTAAAATAATTATTTTGTACGACAGAACAATCAAAGGGAGCATTCATCCTTTCAAATGGCCTATGGTTCTAGATCGTAGATTGTAGATTGGTTAGTAAGTTTATATTATATGTCGTTTGCAAAAATAAGACTTACATGAATTTCAGTCAATATTGATTCCACTATAGATAGTCATAGTCCATAGTGGTCTCACTTTAATTTTTAGATTAAAGATAAGGGTTTAAATGAAATATATGGGTCAAAGTTTAGACAAAAAAATATACAATGTAGGATAACGCAATATGAGTGTCGCATACCATCAGATCTCCAGCTCTTAGAACGATATTTTATAACTAATACACTTACATACATTTTATAACTAATAACCTGAACCTCTCACAATGATATATTTATCCAAATAAACTTAATCTTGATGAAATATAACTGTATTCTTGCTAAGTTTACTATAATACTGATTTCACTATCATTGATTTTAAGCAATGGGAATATTTAAAACTGTTTTCACCAGGAATAAATTATATCTGATATCAATAGCCTATTTTAGGGGAACTGCTGAAATTGAAATTGCTGAAGCACATGTCCGTAGCAGCAACAGCAGAATTAGCAGCTCTATATTAGTCCTAATAATGAAGCTCTTACACTATATTAGTCCTAAATTTTATGTCAAAGGTTATACAGACCGTAATTCATAATTATATATTAACGTCGTTATTTTATAAGTTTGCGAAATCTTTTTTTGATGTCTTAAATGCCAGACTGATAGAGACATAAAATTCGTGTTTACAACAGAAATGGCAACAAGCAATACTTGTCTTTTTTTAAAGATTTTAGGAATCTATACATGTTGATGTAGTGGTTCAATAACTGAGCGAATTCCAGATGCTACTAGATTCGGGACCTAATATTTCAGCGTACAAAAGTAAAAGACATTTTCTTGTATCGAATTATATTCTACAATAAAACATAATCTTATTATTCAAAACTCTATATTTCTTGTAATTAATTAAAAAGATTAGTTTAATTTTCTCACTATAGTGAAGCATTTCTTTAACTTCACTTAGTAAAGTCCATATCTTTTACATTTATAAATTTGTAAAAACACTTTAATTTTTTTAGTTAATTATTTAATTGTTTGTGATTTTTTTATATTCAATGTATAATTTAAATAGTAGTCGTTGCTATTTATATTTCAGTGTTTGGAATGGCCATTTTTACTAGGAATATTTTATGACCAGGTCATTTTGTGTCAAAATTATGTATACAGAAATGTAAACAACAGTATTTGTAAATGATTTATCTCGCAAAATAGGATTATTTTTTATATTGGAGGAAAAAGTTAAAAAAAATTAAGTTGCTTTACAATATAGTAAATTGTTTATGTAAAAATTTGTATTAAAAAAAATAAGTAAAATTATAAAACTGCGGTCTTATAAAAAAATGTGATAAAATATTTTTTTAATGCATTATCCCTTTGTTAATTATCATCATTCAAGATAATTTTAAAAGAATATAAGTAATATTGTTGATTAAAATAAATTAGGTAAAAGTAACTAAGTAATTATAAAGTTCATTGATCAATTAATCAAATAGAAAATATTACTCTATCACGGAAATTATTACAATCGATTCATGTATGTATAATAAAAATTGTAGTTTTATTAAAAAAGAATGAAACAGGTTAATTCTAGTTTGTACATAAATTACACCGCAGGGTACAGCTTGCACCACTCATTATGCAACTTGCACGTGATCCATTCACGTGCAGCGATGGAATCCAACTTCCAGGGTACAAACTTCCACCATCAAGGAACGGATACGTCCGCTCCGAAATAGAAAGCCGTCTTGCTCACATGTCACCAATTAGATAAGGTACGCAATAAAACATTGAGCAAACCTCATCCAGAGACATTCACATGTGTCCTAAGTTGTTTTGGAGTGAGCAGCCGCAGTGCCGGTTGAAACAGCGAGCCGGCTGGCCGATTGCGGCAGTGTTTTTTAATATTTGCGAGTTATTTGTATTGTGCAAGCATGTTGACTCCCATCTTCCTCTTACTCGCCTTGCATTTCGCGGCTTCTGATATACGTAAGTTGCTTTCCTATTCGATAATCAATGGTTTCTATTCCTCATATTGTTTCATTTGACGTAATTTATTTTTAATATTTCTCCGCATTTCGACAGCAATGATTGCTCTCATTCATCCTACAAATATCAGCATCTAAGTCAGGGCCAGTCCTTTATAATGAATGCTTACAAAAACTTGTAATGATCTCTTGGACAGTGTTGTCACAGCGTTGCGGCATGCTCTACTTCTATCGCAAACACTCTCACAAACATAATTGATTGCAGATTATTATTAACATATGCAATTTATAATTTAAATATTTGCACCACTCAAACAGAGAACTATTACTTTCAAAGAGCTACCTCTTATTTTTTACCCCTTTAAATTTATCATTTGTAATATTATAATATTATAAAATATTAAGTATTTGTGTTTGGTTAAATTTTATCAAAATCAGTTCAAGAGAATTGACTTACAACAGTAATAATTATATTGTAGTTATTATAACCATTCTTAAGTACTTTCCTAGTTACAAGACCCGGGGCATCTAAAATAAATGTTCAGTTGATATTTTGTAATAGAAATAATTACTGCTCAGATATAAATTTATTCCAATTACCTTTTATAATATATTTGCCATTGGAATATAAATAACATGATTTATTTTATTAACTATAATAAATTAACCTTGTTTAATAATATTAATTATTATGAAAATAATTTTAAATAATGAAATGAATTTAAATAAACTCAGATAATAATGAATATGTAAAGAAGTATTTTACTCACATTAGTTGTAAAGTCATATTTGTTTAATTTCACTCCGGCTTATTCAAAGGCATGTTAAATGCATCATATGCTATTATAAATTTATTGCTTTAAGTGAAACTAATATTTTCACTAAAGAAACTATAAGTTTCATTTATATAATTAAATACTCGCGAGAGTCTTAGATCTCATTATATATAATTATTTCTAGTATCATTTTTAAACGCATCAATATTTACGGGTATACTTAAATGAGAATTCAGTATATTAAATAGAAAAGCTTGATATCATAATTATTGGTAGTTAAACGATTGTATAATATAATAATTTATCTTTTTTCGAGTTGTGGCTTAGAAATTACAGCAAACCTATTGCAAGCAACAAAAATTATTAAACAAACCTTGATTATTCGATCAGAGAAAATATACCACAAACGATAAACCAAGGTTTTTATTACAAGTCATATGCTATTATTACAACTTAAACATTGTAGAATTTCGAATAAAAATGTATGTACTATAAATGAGTTCCGTATAAGTCATTAATTAAGATTGTTAATAATAAAAAATTACGTAAAAGGTTAAGGACGTTTTACTTACAGAAACTTTTTTATTTCAGCACCATACATAAAAGTTTGTCAGAGAAAAGATCCCAATGTCGACAAGTGCATCATAAATTCAGTGGAAGAGCTGCGGCCGAAGATGAAAGAGGTAAGTTTTGAGATGTTATTTATTATATATGTCATGTATAATGTTGTAAATATATGAAAAGAAAAGTCAATATATAAATTGACGTTAAGAAGACGGTCCATCGGCAGCCGGTGTTTCAGCAGGTGGGGATTCTGCAGGTGGTGATTCGGCTGGTGGTGATTCGGCAGGTGGTGATTGTGCTTCCGGAGTTTCGGGAGCTGGGTTTTCAGCTGCTGGTGTTTCTGGAACTGGTGGTTCAGCAGCCGGGGATGTTGGAGCTGGTGATTCGGCGGCAGGAGTTGCGGGTGCATCTGGTGGGTTACCTGACGGTGCAGGGTTGGGAGGAGATCCTGCGTCAGCGGAACTGGGTGATGCTGCATTATCTCCTCCTGGCGTTGGCTGTTGACTTGGACCGGAGTTGTCTGGTGTTTGTTTTGTTGGTTCCGGCCCAGATGTCGGTTGCTGCTGTGAACTTGGGTTTTGAGGTTGTCCTGGACTTCCATTCTGAGCTGGAGAGGGCTGTTGGGGTGGTTCTGCTTGCTTTTGAGGTGAAATATTTGGTTTTTGGTTTGAATCCGTTTTGCTTGGATCTGATTTTCCAGCTGTTGCTTGGGCTGAACTATTTGCACTTGATTTTGAACTATCCTCTACGTATACGTCTTCTGTATTGCCAGAAGTTCCGTTATTTTTCTCGTTAAAGGCAGCAATTAAATCAGTGTTAGATGTCGAAGCTGCTGCTGATGTCGAAGCTGCAGCGCCCTGTGCTGCTTTAGCTGTCGAGTTGCTAACACTGGTGGCTGTATTTTTATCTCCAACATACACAAGAGTATCGTAAATATCCTTGTCTTTAGCCTCGTTGCCTTTTTTAGGATGTTTTCCTTTGAGATCTATAACAATATTAGTCCGTGACGTTGGTCTACGATCCAATACTGTTCTTGCATTCGGATTAAAATTGTTACATTTTTCACATCTATTGTTACGACATTTGAAACATTGAGGGTCTTTTTTGGTCGGATTTGGTACAAATTTCACAGGATCGATTTCAGATGGATATTTGATAGTGACGTTGGTCTTTGATGGTACCCTCACTTGAATTACAGTACTTCGTCCATTGCAGGCCCGGCTTGTAACAAAATTATTCTAAAAAAAATAAAAGTATAAGTATCAATATGATGATATGAGTTAGAAATCGTCATTAGAAAAGAATCTAATCTCTTATATTATCGAATATTATGATAAAAATGTAACTAATATTTACCTCACAAATTATTGCAAGCGCAATAACAATGAGTGTAGTATACAGCCCCATATTCAGCACTCGTTGTTATAAAAATGTTGCACAAGCCTTTTATACATAACACATATTGATATAACTTTAAATCCTTTGTCATGTTTGAATCATTATCCTTATCAATATATTAAAACTCACGTAGGATTCACATTTTAAACTCATTTACTATCTCAGCTCAGGTGTCATTATAAATTATTTTATATTTTTATTTACGTCAAAGCCTTATGAATGATTATAAGAAATATTCTAATACAAACACGTTCTGTTTTACAACTGAATATGTAATATATTATCTGGGAAAGAAGAATATATTCTGTGAAATAATTCAATATTTACGAGTATGTTATACATTTAAAAAGAAGTTGTTGATTTGAAAGTAGGTATTTGAATTAATGGTTACTTGTGTTTATTGTAACTTGTTTAAAATATTACTATAATATAAACGCTACAGCTTATAACGACACTAGGTTTTTAGTAGTTGTGTTCAATATAAAAAACCAGCAGTAAATTAGTTTTAGCATAGTCTCAAAATCATCGTTCTGAACAAACAAACAAAACTCGCTTTTATTACGCTAGTAATACACACTAGGCATAAAAAATATTAATATTTTTAAAGTTGTAAGTATAAAAATAGGTTTACAGTTATTATTATTATTTATTCTTGGATAATTTCTATACGCCACTTAGGAGGTACATTTTCTACATGTCTATTTTTACGAGTATAAATATTTATTGGACCCATGACTAAATTAAAATCGTATAATACTTTGATAAAACCTTTTAATGTTTTGCTAAAAACAAATTTCCAGAGAAGAAACAGTCAGAAAATTTTTCTTAACAGACAATTTCATTCAAATCAATGACAGTATTTACACTTTATATCAATGTCATTAAAAATATGATGACATAGATGCAATTAATAAAAAAATCCCTTTTAGCGCAAATTTGAAAGTATGTCATTGTCAGTGAATTTCGTAACAAGTTAAGAGTGTCAAGATAAGTGCAAACGTAAATACAGAATAGATTCGCGGTATTTGCATAACAAAAATAATGATTATTAAATAAACTTTACACTACGGCTATGAAACGGACAGTCCTTTAAAATTTACTCAAGGTTGTTGGAAAGATACACAGTAGCTCTTTCAATTTATTTGATGAAACAATTTGAAGGTACTTTTAATATTTTTGACAAATTATAAACGTCAAATTCACTGAAAACCAATTTCATTTTTATAAGAACGTAGGTATATTTCTCGTCGTATTTATACATATTTTTTATAGTAATTTGACTTCAGACTTATTATACATACAATACAATGTAAACTATGATACAATAAACTACTTTGTCGTGTATTAGAATATTCTTATTTGTGTAAAAGCAATAACTAAACTGCCATTACTTTTAACTTGTATCTATAAATCATTTTTTATTTATTACTAACCAGACTTATTCTTAACCTATGTTTTTTTATTGTATTATTATATTGTGGTTATTTTTTTATCATAGTCATATCTTAATGGAAATTTCATTAAATTCCAGGGCATTCCTGAACTTGAAGTACCTTCGATTGAGCCTCTTAGTCTCGGTCAAATAGCCCTCGCGCGCGGACCACAGGGCGCTAAACTTACGGCTGTGGTCAACGATGTGAAAGTCAGGGGACCAAGCAATTTTATTATACAAGAGTTAAAGTAAGTTTAATGACAATTACTGAAGTTTTTACACCACAAATCGAACATATAAAATAGTTTTTTCCTTTAATTTTTTTATTTATTTCTAGCCAGTTTGAAAATTTTTGTTTCTGTATTACAGGTCAGACCTCGACAAGAATAGATTTGATTTCAAACTGCTTCTTCCAAAACTTGACTTTGCTGGAAAATACAAAATGGACATACAAGTCTTGTTATTGAGACTTCAAGGAAGAGGAAACATTACAGGGTCATTCAGTAAGTTAAATCCATTTATGCCGATAAGAATTCAGTCATTAAAAATATTTTGCTATGAAACTATAATAAAGAAGCAATTTTTCGTATATCAAGGTAACATTAACAATATGTTATGTTTAGCCTTTCATAATATTCGATTATTTTATTAGTGATATATATTTAGTGATATATATAAAACTACGACAAATTTTAATGTAGTTAGAGAATGGGTATAAGTGATAGAACATTCTATGTTTTTGTAATATTTTGCGGTTTATATTATAAATAAGTTTTTTATGTAGATTTGCTAACGGCGCTGCGGGTCTGTAAATATTAATATTGACTGACGATGCTAGTATATATTTTAAATTGGTATTCACAATGAGTTTACTCGGTAGATTAAAAATACCGATTTTTCGTGGATTTATGGCATTTAATTAATAACAGAAGGTTATTCATCTAAATTTAAATTATTTATTTGTTTTTTAATTTTTTCACATTGTATAACTTTGTAATCAAAAATTTTTTTACATTTATTTCTAAACAATGATGTTTATGTGGTCGCTTTTGCCCATTTCAATTTGATTAAGATATAATTTAAGAGAAAGGATGGAGTAAATCTGCTTGATATACCATTTAAGATCTTAACTATGCCATATCTGACTCCATTGAATTTGAACCGTAAACATGTTTACTATATTCTCGTATTACTAATTAACCCTGTTGCTTTGACAGACTCTCCGGAGAAGTAGTACTATCGTTGAGTTAGATTAATATTATTAACAATATGTGAATACTTATAATTTTATATTTATAATGAAATTTACCACAACCATTTCCATCATATTCGGCTAATCCATAATTTATCACCATCCTTTAATATAGATAAGAATTAAATAACACTAATGTTCTTCTCATACCTGGCAATTTCCCAGCTTTAGCCAGGATCTGCCTTACATGGTGTGAATAGTTTTGGCTAATTGTTTTTACGACCGGCGGCCTGCCTGACGTCAACCCTCTTTGGGAATGCATTAGTCAGTGATGTCTAAATACTCTTAGAAAGTACATGAGGCAAATTGTCATTTTATGTATATCGTTTTTCTAACAAATTAAGTTCGTGTTAAACCATAATATTATAAGAGATACAAAAACTAAAGCCAGAACGTAAACAATACATATAAATCCATCACCTGTTTGTTTAGGCGTGTGTTAATCGGTACGTTACGTTCATAGCTGACCGGTCGGGGTTTTTGCTATTACGAGACCTGATACAAGTGGGTTAAAGGCCCTCGTACAATATACTCAATGACCAAATATCGTAAACGTTTGTTTTGAAAGATGGTTCAAACGAATTCATGTAAATACCGTGGAATATTGTTAAAGCGATACTACTTACGTTGAGTATGAAATATGAAGAAATGTAAAATAAAAAAACATTGGCTTTTCATGGAGAGAAGAGTAATAATGCTAAGAATTTTCATCGTGTATTGTATTTCAGTTTTGGTATATATTTCAGGTGTAGTTATCCATTATGCTGAGAAAGCCAAGATTTGTAAAATTTTATTCAAATATGTCATCCTATCTCTAAGGTCGTATGTTGAGTTTCCGAAAAATATATAATTTATATATACGTTTGGAAATTAAATTTCAAATTGCTTTTTAATTGTTTTTACATTTACGGCACTAAATTCGTTTTATTGAAGTTATAAGCATTAGATGCCGTAAATATGTTAATCTTAATATGAAATTATTATTTCACACGCTCAACCTTATCGCAATTAGAATTAAGGGCCTTTACTGAAACGCGATAAAAGAAACTAATCAAATTTGCAGGGCAAGTTACATATCTCGCCTGCTCGTGATCACGGTTGCTGAAAAGTAACCGAAACGTCGGCATAATGTAGTTTTTAAAATAATTAAACACGCGTAGTATAATCCGACAAATATAAGTTTTATTTAAATTAAATTAAATTTAAATTAAAGATCTCATCAAGTTACAATTAACATGAGATGATGAAGACATATTTTAGCTGGAGATTGAAGGTTGAATTAGAAGTTAAAAAATTAAAAGGCTCCATATTTATAATGCTTTTAAAGTATAGTTTACATAACAATCAATTTATATGTTACAGAGGACTACGCTTGTAATGTAACAATGCGCGGCCACAAAGACAAGCGCGGTGACAATGAATATCTGACCTTCGAGCCTATGAAGGTCAAACTTCGCGTGGGAGAATCCTCCATCTACCTGACCAATCTGTTCGATGGCGATCCAGTCCTCGGACCAGCCACCAACAGGGTCATCAACGAAAACTCACAAGTCTTCCTCTCAGAAATAAGTCCAGTGCTAGAAAGGTCACTCGCCGACCTCTTTACGGAAATGGCAAATAAGATTACATCAAAATTTACTTACCAAGAACTTTTCCCTTGATTTAAATGGATGTTGTTTTAAGGAAAAATGTGATATTTTTAAATGAAATATAAGATTTGGAGCATCCCAAAAGTAGTGCTCAACGCACATAAGTATTTAAAACTTGTCATAGTTTTTTTGGTTTTGATGAAAATTTTATATTTTTAAACATCTCACCCTTATGTTATAAGATTTATACTATTTTAAATATGAATTAGTATATTAGGAAATGGTTCCTGGTGGTTTAAAAATCTGTATAGAATTTATAGAGTAAAAAATCAGTGCGCTATTGAGTACCTTGAGAGCGTTGTAAAACTTGCAATAATTAACATATCTATACGACATTTTACAATCGAAATTATGGAAATAAAACATCATGAAACTTATGTAATTAACTTTGACGAGACTTGTTAAATTCACAAGCATTAAATACTTAAGATTATATAGAAAGATATTTTTAGATATTAGAAATTATATTTTAAGGCTTTTACAAAAATATTTTCATCTATAACTTGTTTTATTCGCAAACCTTGTTTTAGCCGACCTACGAGATATTTATTCTGAATCAGTAAGATCGTTATACTTACTGGAACTTTGCCAAACTAAGTACAGACAGTTTTCAGTTCTTACTAGATAAATGTTCACTATTGATAATATTGATGGGGAGAAAATAATATTTTGAAAACATCTATACATAGGATAAGTAGACAAATAGTAAGGATACAGATTGCTTGCAATTAGATATATCTTTTAACTCCTATACATTTAAAATAAAATAATTATTTATAGGATTTTAAAGATACTTTATTATATTAAACGATTTAAATCTTCAATTTTCAAATCACACTAGCATTATTGTGGTCACACAATTAAGTTTTGGTTTAGTCATACTGCATTACATTGAGGTAAAAATGTATGTCTTGGATGATATATGGATACGGATTATATATTTTGCTAATATTAATATATATATTGTTGTAAATTCTACTTTAAAATTAAAATATATGAATGTATTTTCATTGTTCTGTCCAACAATTAAACTATAACATTAACATACGTATACTTTATTAAAATTAATCAAATGAGGTCAATTAAATCTTACCTTAATTGTAGGAGCGAGCAAGTTATGTGTGAGCCCTCCTTTTGCCAAGCATGTAATAGCGATCTACAAATACCGAAATAATGTGAGGATGCCGACTCCTACCAGAAACGAATCTTCAATAACATTTTTATCATATTCTTATTGTAAAGACACGTTATGTAAAAAAAGATATTAAGTATACAAAATGATTTAATCAGATTTATACATACGATATTTTACTTGATGGATGAATTCTTTTTGATGAAAATATGTAACTGTTTTAAAGAATATTATGTATAAAGGTATAAAAATTGAATAAGATTACTTTAATATTTATGTCAAAATACATTTTGTCTAGTAATCATATGCAATTTTTTATACCTTTATACCATTTCCGAATTACTGCTAATTTGCTATTCTTTGATTAAAAATTTAAACGATATTAAAAACTGTAACAGGGTTTTCCGTTGGGCTGTACATTTTAATGTAACTTCAAGAATATCTCTGTAAAGAAACTAGAATCTTATGACGGCATCCTAGGGACGTTGGAAGTAGTGTTAAAAATATATATTTTTATTTTAGGATCCAAAAATGTTAATTTGCAAGGTTTAATTTCCTTTTTTTTGTCGAATACCAACATTTTTGAAAAATGACTAAATTAATTGAGCTACATTAGACCTTATTTTTACCATGAGTTTACTAGCTATATTAGATGCTATATCTTATTCTCTTGATTGGAAACTCTTTAATAAATTCGGTGTATCACATCATTCCAGTAATGATCCAAGATTTTTAGTACTATTTTCAAGTAAGAATATTTTTTTATTCAATTCATTGGACGGCATAGACGGAAATAACAGCCATATCATTCGTATGGTAATAGCTAATTTCCTATAAATAATAACACGCCAGTACAATCAACGTACAGTTTCTTGCGCAATATGAAATTTGGTCACATCCTTTGTGACAAAACATAAAATTACTACTTAATAAAAGTCCCGGTGTAAAATTGCTAGGACTCCACAAAGAAGTTTTACAACTCTTTGATAATTCCTTATTGTTTTTTATTTGAAAACGAATTTAATTCTTGGAAACAAAACAGTTGTTCGTAATGTTTTAAGAATATATAATTTGGAAAGTATGTCACTTATGATTTGTATAACGATATTTGTACATTTCAGAAACACTTAAAGTTTTCCTTATGTGAAAACAAATTAATATCCCAATATATTATGAAATAATTATTATTTATATAATAATATGTAGAATATACAATGAAAGTTTTCGAATCATTAAAATATGTATATTAATATTATTTTATTTTACTGTACTACATATATAAATATATATCATCATATATCGTCATCGGCCTATCAGAGCCCACTGCTGAGCAAAGCTCTCTTATCACCAGGAGAAGATTTGAGCATTAACCACCACGCTTGCTCAAGACGGGTTGGTGATTTCAAACTTATAATTGTGAAATTCTAAGTCCAGGTTTCTTCTTCATGTTTTCCTTCACCGTCTGTTAGTGTCAGTGTCTAAATACTCTTAGAAAGTACATATGATACAGAAAAATCACATTGTTACTGGCCAGGATCGAACATGCGCCCTCCTGCATGAGAGGCGGGCCTTTAACTACTTAATATATATACAGTAGGACCCCGATTATCCGGACCTCGGTTATCCGAATTCGCGATTATCCGGACTGCCAATCGCGACGAGTTTATTCTAACACTAGCTGACCCGGCAGACTTTGTACTGCCTCAATCAAGAAATAAATTATTTCTTAATTATTTTTTTGGAGTTTACCTTTAAGCCATAAAGCTCCGTGTTCTAAAGTGCGACAGAATGATTGACATATTAGTTAGTTGTCAAATCTAATGTCAAAAAACCCGTTTGTATGGGAAATAGAAAAGCGCTGTTTTTAGGGTGTTTTCCCGGATTTTTTTTTCCAGCTTTTATACCTTCCCTGAACCTCCACGAACATTTCAAGACTAAGATAAAATAAATCCGTTCAGCCGTTCTCGAGTTTTAGTGAGACTAAGGAACAGCAATCCATTTATATATATATATATAGATTAACATGTCAGAACTTGCATAACGCCACGCCACTTATAACACTTATACGTACATTATGTACAATTTCTTAATAAACGTTGATTTTCGCTCATATGTATTTGTTGTTTTAAATAAACACCTAACATTACATATGTATGTATGGTACAGACTGCATATGTACATATGCAAGAAGCCCGTTTTTCTTCATATATTGGATTATCCGGACTTTCAATTATCCGGATGCCTACCGACAACAATTAGTCCGGATAATCGAGGTCCTACTGTATAACTATTAAATACCATAACTGTATGAATAATGTTGATATTTTAATGTCATATGGATATGTAGTGGATACGGAATGGCAGGAATTTCCTTTAGAAAAAACATACATAGTTGTTTACATAGATTTGTATTGTAATGTAACATTATTATAAACCAGATAAAATAGTTATTGTAATTGTTGATTGGAAACATATATTATTCCCGTGTATATGCTTATTTTAAAAAGTTTTTTTAAGACTATGAATTACATCCAATGTTATCACCAAGTTAAAGGTATATTAAATAGTTACTTGTATACTATAGCTATAAATAACTGTTACGAAAATCTATGTAAATATAAAATGACGATACCTACGAGCGGTTAATAAAGATGAAGGTCGATAAAATTTTACTAGAACCAAATTAATTAATATAAATTGTCACAGATTTCTAAATAATTGACTAATCGTGTTATCATTTCATTATTATAAAAAATAAATGTTTGTAATTCAAAAAATATCATCAAAAGTTTTGGGTATAATTTTACATTATACCCAAAATTTTATAAATTAACTGTTTATAAAGTTTAGATTAAAAAGTTGAATAAGTTTGTAAAACTAAATCACAATAATTTAGAGGTGAGAAAAAGTAATTAAAACACTTAGGAAGCTGTCTCAGAAAAACAATTTTATAATGTGGTAGAGGCTAGTTGTGGTCAATTCAATACAGCTCGAACATGAGCTGGTTCGACCGGGGAAGTACCACCCTCTCACAGAAGATCGGCGTGAAGTAGTCTTTACTGGCTGCGTTTCGTCTGATGAGTGAGAGAACCGGCTGCCGTTTCCCTTTTCCCAACCTTTCCTGAATATTCCTTTTTCCTACCCGTTCCTCTCCTTTTCCTTCAATCAAGGTTGGCAACGCATCTGCAACGTCCCTTATGTTGAAGATGTTCCATCAGGTAGGCCGTCTACTCGTTTGCCGCCGTGGAAATAAAATAAAAAATAAAATCTAATGTTCAGCTTTTCAATAAGAGGAATTAGTAGGTATATTTTACAGTACTTTACACAATATAATCCTTTGTTTGGTAACATTTTGAAAAATTTACTCTTTAAATGAATGCGATGGCAACCTTCAGAGAATTACGAGGAAGCATTTCAAGAGACAAAAATTAAAGGACAGGCTATCCATATATGTTGTTGTTTCTTCAATAACATCATAATTTCACCATGATTTTAATCATACATATACATATATGTGATATACATATATATTTACATTCATAGTACTTGAGTAGATATACTAAAAATGTCTTTCAGGGCATAAAAAATGTTGCAATTTAATAAAAATAATAGCTCTCCGCTTTGTGCTCTTATTATATTAAAGCAATTAGCAAAAAAAGATATTATGTGATAGCTTTAATCCCAAATACGCAACAGCAAATTTTATGTAACGCCGTACTCGGCGGCGGAATATTTTTGTTAGATTGTACTCTAATTGCAACGTAATAATAACATCGGGAGTTTTTAATAATAGTTTTCTGTTAATAATACAGTTGTTTGTAATGTATAGCCTTTTATATTGAACATGCTTTATGCCGGTGAGATTATAAAATACGGTGCTTTTTCATTTGCTTATGCTGTTTTTGACCTCTTCACTGCTACTGTTTGTGAGTATGTGCATTAATAATAATTATGACACATTTAATAAATACATACAAGAAATAAATACAAAAGCTTTGAAGAATTAAAAGCCTATTCAGAAGTAAAAAAAACCTTTGAATTTATATGTACATATAATATCACCAAATAATAGCGTATTTAATTAGGATACAATGCGAAAATTATAGAACAAAAATTTTAGTATTCATAATTTAAGATAAGCCTGAAATAATGAGTCATAATCAGATTTGTTCGATAAGAATTCCCCTGAAGTGATTTTAATTAATTTTATTTACATTGCCCAACAGCCTCGAAGCCGGCCACCTTTTCCTTTCATACAAATATTGCTGGATTCCGCGCCACGCCACACTCGCTTTCTGACTGTTGCTGGTTGCGAGCTGATCTGTGAATTATCCTTTATAATATCGAAAACAGTATGAAGATTCTTCTTTTAATTGTCACGTGTTCCGTAGCAGCTTCGGCTAAGATATTACGTAAGTTATTAATGAGATTTTTGATACATTACAGACACAGATTAAAGGCTTTTCATTGAAAATTCATATTCTATACTAAAAAATCTTTTTAATTTTTATACATTCATATAGAATTCTTGTTAAGTTCTTTGTTTACCGTCCTCGTAATTTATTGCAGCTTATTTGGTCATTACCATTTTCTAATTAAAATCTTTATGTAACTTGCCGGTGATTTTAATCTTATTGCATTATTGTCAGTGTACTATTATTGTTCTTATTTCTTTTATATTTAAACAGATAAATAAAATGAGGTGGATCTTTTTTAACACGTAATATCTTCATCAGATTATTATTTAAGAATATTTAAGGAGCTAGCTTTTTGTATAAAGGAAAAAATCTTTGACTTTATTTATTTAATAATAATAAATCTCATAAAATTATAACTATAATATGAACATATTGAAATTGTGCATTTTTAAAGCGTTACAATTAGCTATCTCCATTTACCTGTAGAAAGTGTTTTTGCAATAATGTTATGCAGTTTATAGCCAATGATGTAACCTCTCAGCCGGTGCCTTGAGATCTTTTTTCTAATAATTTTAAGTTCAACACATAATTATTGCGTTATTGGCAGGTACTTCTAGTATTAAATTTTTTCCTAAAAGGTGAAAGGATACAAATATAGTAATAGTAGATAAATTATTAGTATTATTGATTTTTTTGACATCAATTTTATGTCTTTGAAATAAACTATCGCTTGTCACAGCTTTGTTGTTAAAAAAACTTGTGAGAAACAAAATAAAATATACGACTAATATATTAAGTATTTGACAAAATCTTATGAAATACATTCAGTGTGTGAATTTAACATAATAAAAACCTACACGTTTTTACAGGATCAAATACTCTATAGATATATTATTAACTGTTTTTAAGATTACATCTTAAAAACTATCCAGCATAGATTCCTAATTTTACTACTTCCTTATATTTTGATATCTCATACTATTAAAATTGAATAATTATTATAGGTATATATATAAAATCTTACACTGCCAATTGAGCTTGAACTTTCGGCTTTTCCCTGTCCTACAAAGGTTAACAAGAACTGATTTCCTTACAGATGTCGTGATTTTTAAAAATATGGTAACACGAAGCGGTAGGTCACATATTACAAAATAAACATAAAATTATTAATTCAAATGTCAACATAACGTTCGCATAAATCATGTTGCAACAATATAGGACGCAAGTTACTGGCCCAAATCGTGAACTTGCTTTGGACGGAATGTCATTACTAGTCTACAAAAATTCAGTGGATTTGATAATCTATAAAGAGACGAAAAACAATTGCCAACCAATATATATTTAGGTTGAATTTTCGAAAGATTTTTTTTACAACAAACAGAGAGATTTTTTTAAACAGAGTTAGAAATATCTTGTATTCATTTCAACAGGTTTTTAAAATATATTTATCTGTATTATTAAATATTCTGTACTAAATGTAATGTGTCACTTTTAATTGCGAAAATGATCGCTCACTCCGCATTAACAAATGGTTAAAGTTAAAACGTGAATGCACTGTTGCATAGCCATAGTGCATACAAATGTTGTAAATAATTTCTTAAGCTTACGATTTACTCGAGTTAACTTACTTTACGTTAATATTTCCACAAAACTATATAACTTTCTGAAGACGTAATTTCTAATTTAGTTTTTGATGTCTATTTCAGCGGACGATTTTCCGCAATGCAAGAGGAATGACCCAGAATTAGAGAAGTGTATTCTAGCAGCAGTGGAAGTGGTCAGACCGAGGCTTTTAAACGGTATTCCTGAACTCAATGTACCAACCCTCGAGCCGTTCAATGTACCAACATTGAAGCTGGATAGGACTGCCAACAATCTGAGATTGAAAGCCAACATTAGAAATATGAAAGCAGTCGGTGGATCCAAATTTAAAATTGAGAAATTCAGGTACGCTATATACTTTTGTGATATGTTATCTAACATTGAATCCACGAAATTTATATGAATAATACTAGATACTAAATCGTGGTACAGTCACTATTTGTATATAATAAATCACTACATAATTTAAATATCTCTCAAAGTAATCGTTTGAAATCATAAAGGTCAGCTATTTTATAATCGTAATCAATGACATCGATCAACAAAATTATGACTAATCTGTGTTCAAGTTACTAATAAACCAGTCGTATTAAATCTGGGGCAAGTTAGTTTTGAACAGATGTGGTATAGACTTAGATTTACGCTGCATATAACATGTCAAACAAGTGGGCTTGCAATGAAATAATTAAAATTTGCAACACATTTTACGGTCACATTCATAACAGTTACAGTAAATACAATTGAATACATTTGAAACCTGTTTTTAAAAGTAAATGCTAATTGTGACACAATATTCACAATAAGTTCAAACAATAAAAGACTTCAAATGAAACAAAGAAAAAGAAGAATTAACAATGTCGTAAGCTCAGTAACAAACTTAAATAGATCCATTTAAAGTTGATTAAGAAAATATTGGTGTTGTTGAAATTTGGCTAAAAGAAATTTCATTTTCTGAAGTATCGTTAGTGAATCGATGCTAACCGTTGATCTTCAGATTACTGACGTCATAAGCGACTAGAATACTTTAGCATTTTTGTTCTGAACATAAACATTAGACAGACTTATATATTTACTTATGAACTTGGGGCAAAAGTCTTAAAAATAGCTTTCCAATTTATTGAATGTATAGAATATACTTACCTCTAATACGAGATAATAATACATATTTGAGCAAATAGTCACGACCATAAATCCAAATATAATAAAATGATAAAAAATATTTTCATATTTCAGATTGAACTTGAACAATAAGTACGTAGCCGAAATCAAACTGAGCATCCCGAAGCTGATTGTAACTGCTGACTACGACGTGAAGGGATCCCGTATCCTCACCCTGGACATCAGTGGCCAGGGAAGATTCAGAAGCAACATCAGTGAGTAACGGCCTTAAGTCACGACTATCTAAATTATCTTGAAGCATTTGTTGTTTAGATGATTTAAGTTGAAAAATTTTTTAAGTACTATAATACCTATAAATCTCCTTTTCACTTAGAGTTTGGCTAAGAAATCTCAATTTTTTCATATGCTAATACCTAACTATTATCATATATAATTTATACAATATTTTTTACTTACAGCTGGCATAACGGTGGTAGCAAAGGGAAACGCAAAACCAATCACGAAAGACGGTGTGGAGTATCTACAAGCTGAGAAGGCTATAACCAAAATAAGAATTACACACGCACAAATTGTAATTGACGATACGGAGCGACCAGTTGCTGGTAAATATTAAATTAAATACAAATAATGTTTTATACTATACAATTTGAAAGCATATTAAATAAAAAAATTGTAACAATTTAAGTCTGATTCCAAGAGATTAACGTACAGTTATGTACAACAATTTAGCATGAGATTTAAAGATACAAAATAATGGATGTAGTTAATGGGTAAATGAACAAGTTTTTCGTAACAACCTATCAAAATTAGATTCTAAAATATTTTTCAAGTATCATAATTACCTTCTATTCACAATTATCTTAATGAAAAAGATATACAAGTTTAATGCAAATTAATCAGCAAAAGAAAAACAAATTCCTGATAGAATAACAAACAGACGTCAAATGTATAACAACTCTTTTTGCGTCGTTAAAAACAAACCTTAATATATTAAGAACAAATTAAAAACAAATCTTAGTTAAAAATGTTTAAAGACGAAAAGTCTTGGATGTTTATAAATAAAAAATATATAATTCCTACACACTATGAAATCTAGAATTAAGTATACATACATACCTTGTATGAGAGTATTTTTCTTATGTTATTCTGACCCACAAATCTGAATGTATATTAACTTCAACAAAATCTCTACCCACAGCTACATCCGCGGCAGCATTCTTCAACGCCAGCCCCAATATTGTATTGGACATCCTAAACCCTCTCATAGAAGAAAGTAGCGCGGCCATCATCAAAGCATTTATCAACAAAATATTGGGCACCATCCCCTTAAAAGAGATCTTCGTAGAAGACGCCTAGTTGTTATTTATATGTACCTGTGCCTCTTATTTATAAATAGATTTAAGTTTAAGTCATATTTAAATTAGCTTATACATTATTATTGTACTTCATAATAAATGAACTATAACTTAATGATTAGTAATTGAGTTTTATTTTAAACATTTTCTATCTTATTTTTGGGTATAATCTACACAAATCAGTGGACTAAATTTAGTGACGACTCTGCTTTTTAAACTTTAATTCATACTTTCTTTTCGTATTTCGACATGTTCTTTTTCCATTTCTTTTACAAATATAAGAGAATTAGTTGAGTTATGAATTCATAAAATGTAGTATTATTGAATTATATTTTTTTTGTATTGTTTTCCAACTAAATATTTTATAATGTTCTCTACTGTACTTATGTATAATATTGAATTCACGTACGTTATCAATCATCATCATCGGCCTAACAAAGGCTTCTTCTCGCATGGAGAAGATTTGAGCATTAATAACCACGCTTCCTCAATGCGGGTTGGCGATTTCAAATTTATAACTTATAATTATAAGTTCAGGTTTCTTAACGCCGTCTTTCTTCACTGTCTGTCAGTGCTTAGGAAATCTCAATATTTCTTATAAAGAAACCTAAAATCTTTTGCGCATATGATGGTTCTTATATGTTAGTACCTAGCTGTTGTTATATAGAAATTTTACAATGATTTTTTTCCTACAGCTGGCATAACGGTGGTAGCAAAGGGAAACGCAAAACCAATCACGAAAGACGGTGTGGAGTATCTACAAGCTGAGAAGGCTATAACCAAAATAAGAATTACACACGCACAAATTGTAATTGACGATACGGAGCGACCAGTTGCTGGTAAATATTAAATTAAATATAAACAATGTTTTATATGATACCATTTGAAATCATTAAAAAAAAGTGGTTATAATTTATGTCTGATTAAAAGAGATTTACGTATAGTTGTTCTGTACAACAATTTGGTATGAGAATTAAACATACAAAATAACGTATGTATTTAATGCGTAATTGAACAAGTTTTTCGTAACAACCTATCAAGATTAGATAACAAACAGACGTCAAATATACATATAAGAACTCTTTTTGCGTCGTTAAAAACAAACCTTAATAACATTATTTTTTATTAGAAATCTTTAAAGACGAAAATTGTTTTAATGATTATGAATCAAAATTAATATTATATATTATATATATATATACGTTAAAACTAGAACTAAGTATACATACATAGCTTGTATGAGAGTATTTTTCTTATGTTATTCTGACCCACAAATCTGAATGTATATTAACTTCGACAAAATCTCTACCCACAGCTACATCCGCGGCAGCATTCTTCAACGCCAGTCCCAATATTGTATTGGACATCCTAAACCCTCTCATAGAAGAAAGTAGCGCGGCCATCATCAAAGCATTTATCAACAAAATATTGGGCACTATCCCCTTAAAAGAGATCTTCGTAGAAGACGCCTAGTTGTTATTTATATGTACCTGTGCCTTTTATTTATAAATAGGTTAAGTTTAAGTCATATTTGAATTAGTTTATACATTATTATTGTACTTTATAATAAATGAACTATAACTTAATGGCAGTAATTGAGTTTTATTTTAAACATTTTCTATCATCTTTTCGGGTATAGTCTACATTAATCAGTGGACTAAATTTTTGCCGGCGATCCGCCTTGGGATCTCGTGGCGTCGGTTCGAGCCGAGTTGTTCTCCTATGTCTCGGGTAGGAGGACACTCGGCGAGAACCCTTCGTCGGAGGAGATCCGAGCGGTTCGTCGGCAGGGGGAGGAGCGCCTTATGCGGGAGTGGGGGGAGGACCTGGCGGAGCAGCCGTACGGTAGACGTACAACGGCAGCGCTTCGCCCGGTCCTAGAGCGTTGGATGAGGCGGAAACGCAAACCCCTCACTTTCCGTCTGACGCAGGTCTTAACCGGGCACGGGTGCTTTGGTTACTACCTGTGTCGGACGGCCAGGAGAGAGCCGGGAGAAGGCTGTCATGAGTGCGGCGCTGCGGTGGACTCGGCCCAGCACACCCTCGAGGTGTGCCCGAGATGGGCTGCGCAGCGCCAAGACCTTGTGGCGGCTCTCGGCGGAGTGGACCTGTCGCTTTCGAGTGTCGTGGAGAAGATGCTCGAGAGTGATGGGTCCTGGTTGGCGGTGTCCTCCTTCTGTGAGACGGTCATGTCCACGAAGGAGGCATCTCAGCGGGAAAGGGAGAGGGCGGCTGATGCTCCCTCCCCCCGCAGGCGACGTACGGGGGTGCGACGGAGGCAATTCCTACGCCTCCAATAGCACCCCTGTGTTCCGGGCTGGGGTCGGCGTGGTAACCCGGCCCTATTGAAAGTCCGGCGTCGTCGGGGTGGTCCTAATTGCCGGGATCGCCCCCATTCTCCGAGGGAGTAAGTCCGGTCTTTGCCAGGACCGGCCAGTCGCTGGTGTGCCCTGTCGCTGACAGATCCGGGGTACACCGACATAGCGGCCGATGGCTTTCGCAGTGGTTTTAGTGAGTAGGGGCCTGCCCAGGCCGAGCCTCACACATCCCTTCCGGCCCCACCAAGGCCGGTTGGACGGCTCGTAAAAAGAGTTTCCACTACGTCATCAAAAAAAAAAAAAAAGTGGACTAAATTTAGTGACGACTTTGCTTTTTAAAGTTTAATTCATACTTTCTTTTCGTATTTCGACATGTTCTTTTTCCATTTCTTTTACAAATATAAGAGAATTAGTTGAGTTATGAATTCATAAAATGTAGTATTATTGAATTATATTTTTTTTGTATTGTTTTCCAACTAAATATTTTATAATGTTCTCTACTGTACTTATGTATAATATTGTATTCACGGACGTCATCAATCATCATCATCGGCCTAACAAAGGCTTCTTCTCGCATGGAGAAGATTTGAGCATTAATAACCAAGCTTCCTCAATGCGGGTTGGCGATTTCAAATTTATAACTTATAATTATAAGTTCAGGTTTCTTAACGCCGTCTTTCTTCACTGTCTGTCCGTGGTATCTAAATACTCTTATAAAGTACATATGACTACAAAAAATCACATTAGTACTTCCCAGCTTTCGAACCCACGCCCTCATGCACGAGAGGCGGGCCTTTAACCACTAAGCAACCACCACATTTTCACGAATTTACATTTTATTATTATTTCTATATATAACTTCATATCCGTTTTACAACAGTTCTTTTCCTGTTCATTAAAACTGGTTTTATTCTAAGATTAAAATAGCTCAAGTTCATATTTATATCTATAAAATAATAGAATAGTGTATTTTAATTTCTCATACTTATTTAGTCTTCTGTACAGTTGTCAATGTAATTTTAAAAATTTAATGTTTAGACTTTATCTTGCACATATCTTAACCTAGAAAGTAATTACAGTTTTAAAAAACGATGCCTTTGAAAGCACTTTTTATTCAGTGATGTATCTTTCCTTCACATTAAACTGTTGATATTTAAAAAAAAAAAACGCGTACAATGTCGAGGGTATCAGCTATGTAATATCTTAAAGAACCCATTTGCCTTCCGAAGCGACTTCCTCTTTCTAGATGAAGAACGTAATAATACCAATGTGAGCAACCATGTAAAATAATAAAACCTTTATGTGACACAATTATAATAAATATAAATTAATTGTTTTGAATCTTCACTCAAATTATTTATATCAAATTAAGGAGAGGAGTACCTAAGTCTATTTTACTCTCGCACAAAGAGATATAAAGCCAATGGGTGATATGACATAAAATGAAAGATAATTCTCTGTGAAATTATATAAATTCTATAACATTTTTACTTGTAGGATATATGCGTTATGCATAAAAAATACTTCAAGTGTATCTAACTTTATTTACTCCAATGGACCTTAGACCGAGGCTACATATTATCCACATATGGTGACAGCTGTTGCTATTATAAAGGCAAATATCTCATTCAGAGTCTTAGATGAAAAATAACTCAACGTGGTCAAGATGTTGATTGAACTGGTCAAGTTTTTATTGGTAGTGTCGTTATCACATCATGTTATATGCAGACGGATAAACGAACACAATACAACTTTGAACGATGGAAGCAATATGGATGAAATGGGTGAGTAATTTAAGTGATCTATTTTTAAGCTAATAAGTAACTTATATTCGTAGTTGGGAATAAGTTGTACTTTTTGTGTTAATAGGTATTTTAATAATAAATTAATGAGTTTGAACAAAGGCAGATCATTCTGTTTGATGTTCATAAAACTTCTGTCATTTTTCGTAACTAGATTTCTCATTAACGACCCGAGATCGTTTCAGTTAGAAATATATGCATAGTTTATAGTATGTTTTATAATTATTTAGAGTTGAAAAATTAATGAATATTATAAATTTTGATCAGCCAAGAATCCAGTGTGCCACTATAGCGATCCTAACGTCGCCGAATGTATCAAGCGCGTAGCAGAGCAAGCCAAGCAACTTTTGGCTCACGGCATCCCGTCATTCGGCATTCAGCCCTTAGAACCCCTGAAGATACCCAGCATCAGGTTGAGACAACACAACATGCCGCAAGCAAGATTCAAATATGACGCCTGGCTCACTGATCTTACTTTAAACGGATTAACCAACTATACTTTCAATCAATTAGAGTAAGTTTAATATAAGATACAAGTGATTTACTTTAATTAAGATTTAACATATATTTTTCAAAGGTCCGAAAAATATGAAACAAAAGCGGTTCGAGATGATTTTCATTAAGCGCATCTGAATCGTTATGACTTTTACAAGATTTATATAAGCACATATAAATCTTGTAAAAGTCATAACTAACTTATCAACATTTACAAAAAAATGTGAATATTATCTTAAACAGTCAACGGAATTAAAACAGTTACTGACAGTAAAAGGTTTCTCGTGTTAAAAATTAACGTAGAAATGTGTATATATATATAATTCATTGATTTTACCTTGGTAATGGCATTGCATTTACACGGGAAATGACAACAGCAAGACCACTGCCAATGAGATCAACTTTTGTCTTTTAAGAATAAAAAATCATTAGCATATGCAATATTAAACATGGAACAATATAGTAGAGAAATCTTTGAACAAATCTTGTGTTTTAAATATAAGTGAATTGTTACAAATACTTTTTCCAGTGTTTATCCAGAAGATATAAAAGTCAACGGGAACATAAGCCTACCGAGGTTGGTCATGGGCGGAGAGTATGTTGTGATTGGGGAATTCCAGATGTTGCCAGTTGAATCAACAGGAAAGATGTCCGCGAACTTCAGTGAGTGTTACCAACATTTATTAATGTAATCGTTTATTCTTTGTATTGATTTGCATGTCCATAGAATCCTGAAAATACAAAAAATATTGCGAATGATTACGATTTTGGGAGTTTTTTTTTTTTAAAGAAATTGCCACATAAATAAACCTAGTTAAGTTCGAAAATATTAGCGATGAAATAATTAGGTAAAAGCTTTAATACGAAATCAGTAAAGTTTTTTTTTCCTTAATTCGCATAAATATGTTATGAACATTCCAATTGGTATATATTTTTAGCTGACTGTTCTGCTGCCCTCGATGCTGTTGGAGCTAAGGTTCACAAACGAATAGTTATCAAGGATGCTAATGTCAAGTTGCGCTGCACGGGACCACTTAAAGCCAGCCTGATGGAAGCTCACTCCACTACTAGCGAGATGGGTATGTAGATGGACTATAGAATGGAAACTTTTACAAAAACAATACTGTAGACCCTCCCAAAAGATTATATCTTGTTTATTGAATAGTAATTGTAATTATATACCTTTCAGAAATGATAACTGACCACATAATTCAAATGCACGCAAGCGAGCTAGCTAAGGAGGTGCAGCCGGCCGTAGAGACGGCGTTAGCTATGGTCCTTGAAGACATCGCAAATAAATTCCTGAAGCACATACCAACTAACATGGTGTTCCCTATATAGAAGCCAGGGTCACTTAAACTAGTCTGAGTCTATACGTGACGTGACTAACAGATTCAAGAATGTTTTTATTAATTTATTTAATTTATTTTTTGTAATAAATAAAGTGAACTAAATTCGTTTAAGTGGAACTTGTTTTTCTTAATGATGCAACCTTCGGCTATTAGATAAAAAGGGAAGTTAGTGGTCGCCTCCAATCATCGTTTTTATTATGAAATATTTATATAAACCTTTCCTTCGTTCTTAAACATATTTCCTATAAATATTTCATATTTTTATGTTTAAGATACAATATTAACACTCTTTACGCGAATCGTTTATACTTGTACCACTTTCACGAAGTGTGCCACTATGCCGGGCGGTCACAGGCCTACAAATTTGTTACGTCATTCAAATTACAACATTGCAACTCGATTGCTGTGCTACTTATATACTTCATAGGATTCACTTCTTTATCATTAGTATGTTAAGGCTGATTTTTCTTTGTAATATTTTAATTTCGATCTACCTCTGACAACATTTCCAAAAGTGCATGAAAAATTGCATCGCCATCAACAACAGAGCATAGCATTGACATTTTCGTTATGTTATGTTATTGCTACGTTTAAATAACATTGCATACGTGGAATTTTAAACATTGTTTTGTCTCTTCAAATATATTTCACAATATTTTAAAAGTGACTGTAATTTTACAACATTTGCTACATAGCAGTTACATCAAGATGCAATTTTGCGTTATAGAAAGTAACGTGTTATTTACGTTTAATATATTTAATTTGTAACTAACTTTATAAAGAAATATTAATAGTTATATTCATTGTTCATATAAGTTAGATTAATCAGTTAATTTTATTGCTACGAGCATTGATTAAGAGTGATAAGTCAGATAAAGATCTAATGATTAGTATTTTAACTATCATCACGTACTGTTATTGTATTTAAATTAAGATTTATTTCATATTTCTTACTTATAAGTAGCTCTTAGAAGCAATCTATCCGTGTTTTGGTTGAGTTTTCAAAATGAGACGAATTTTATTCTTAGTGTTTGTGATACACGTAGTGTACAGTGAAAATGCTTTTTTAAATTGTTAGTAGATACTGTATAAAACAGTAATTTATTGATAATAGAATATATCATATAATATTGAAAATGTTTACTATAAAAAAAATTATGAAAATAAAATGATTTCAGTGGGCAGTTTTGTTTGTCCTCGAGAAGATAAAGCATTGGGCCGATGTTTGCGCGATGCTTTAAATTCGTACATACCACAATTAGTTACAGGTATGTGAATTTATCCCAAAAACTGGGCTTCTTTTATTTGAAACACATGTATTAGTTTCTGATTACAAAAGGTACTCAATTTGGTAACTTTAGTTGATTAAGAACGCATTTAACAAGAATTATTATACCACAGGTGTCCCAGAATTTGACGTGCCACCATGTGAGCCATTGTTTATACCAACAATGACAATAGAACAATCCGGGGGACCTTTTGCTGTGATGTCTTCATACACTGATATTACAGTGAGAGGACCTTCCACTATGAAGGTTAAGAGTGTCAAGTAAGTTCACAGTATTTTATATCGAAGGTAGCTTACAATACCCCTATATAACTCGGGAGTTTGTTAATTGGTGCCTATTTTTAGCGTCGATTCATCCAAAAACGAAATAGTCGCAAAATTACATATACCAGAGCTCAAGTTGAAGGGTAATTATGATCTCAAGGGCAAGCTTCTGATGATACCCATAGAGGCAAGCGGAAAATTCATTGCAAAGTACGGTGAGTGTCTGGATTTCTTTTAATCATCTTCAAAATCAAAACGTTTTAATGTATGGTGACTTAAAAATACTGAGAAATAGAGCTTATCTATTATATTTAATCAAGTAATTGTGTCCTTATCAGATGCTTCCTTATTTCGTAGGTAACATCGATGCGACGGTCACAATAATTCTTGGTAGACGGCCCCGACCTGGTGGTGTGGATGCCCTCGCATGTCAGGACCTTGATGTGAAGTTCCACGCTGGACACGCTTCTGTCAAGTTGGACAACATGCTCGGTGGTGACGGAGATTTAGGTAAGATATACAACAGACATATAACATAGAGCTTAGAATTAATTTGCCGTATTAGATAGAACAAATAGAAGAAGTACATTGAATTTATGATTATAGATTTGTACGTTCTTGTGTATGTGAGATTGAAGAAGAGATCATAATTCGTAATTATTACAAAAATTAAAACACTTTCATTTAAATATATTTTATGTAGTTTTGAGAGTTTTTATAAACTGTATTAGAAGTTAAATTCACTGATATGTTTGAATAATATTCTGTTTATTTTTTTAGCACGAGCCCTCAATAAATTCCTTAATGATAATTGGGAGCAACTATCACAAGAATTCCAAGTACCTATAGAAAAAGCATTGAGAGATTTCTTTAAACCTCTAGCGGATCATTCGTTTGGTACTTTAAACGCTGACGACATCTTCTTAACGTAATAATGAAATATATTAATAATTATTTATTTATATTAATTTATTAAAATATCAAAAATATGGGATACAAAATAAAATAAGACACAAATTTTATAATGTTTATTCATTAAGACAATTCCTAAATCTGTATCAACATCACAATGTACTTAATTAGTCACTAACATTGTAACACACATTCCTATATGTTTTAACTATCTTACTAAATAAATAAATGTCCTATATCTAATATCGAGATAAACTTATTTGACTTAATTATCCTTTAAATTTTCAATAAAATGATATATGAAAAAACCTTGGAACAAAATCACACTAAAATCAGTCACGATTAAACAAATGAATTTGGTTCGAAAATAAAAAATATTAATTCGTAGTGTAAGTTACTGTTCATGTAAATGGTCATTGAATTCGTTAATTGACAGTTTGGTGCAAAAACATTATTATCGCCTCAGAATAAAGTTCAAAATACTCCATATATTTTGAAGTATGATAAACTTAGTAATTCTAAAATTACTCAACGAAACTTTTCATTTAACACAGACGAACATATCAATCGTCTAGAATCTTTTTTTACATATTTTTTCAAATTTCATATATAACAAAATCAAGTTCCTAGATATTTACCTAACAAAACTATCACATACATATAAAGAAACATATTTGTTTTTAGATCAAATCACACTATGATCGAATTGATTACACTTCAACACTGTTACTATCCACAAAAAACTGATTTATATTTTTATAAAATCTAAATCACTCAAAAGTCTACGTACGAGACTGAAAATTACATAATCTAAATCTTGTACTTATTCATTAAGTGTAAATTATTTAATATTATATTTGACAAATCTTTTGGACTATAACAAAGTTAAGGCGTCAACCAAACATCGATAGGTATTCTCTCGAAGGCTGCATTGAGGAAGGTACGGAAATGTTTTGCGATGGCAGCGGAGGCAGCTGGCCTCATCTCATCGATGATCTCATGAGCATTGTTGTTGAGGAACTGGTTCATCGCCTCTCCTGAGACGATATGAATTGTGCGGGGATGTTTAATACATTCAATAATATAGTTATATTTGTACAAGGACATACAAACCCTTACTGAAACCGAGTTTTGTTTTGGGTTCGTCTAATCAAGATAGCACTCACATGAGGAACAAATCTCTTTGTGTATCATATAGATCGATTAAAAAATCCAGAAGATTTAAGACGATTAGGTTTAAAGGACTAATTTCAAATTATTTATATTCTCGTTATTCTCAAGCATATTAATAAATAATATTCCAATAAATATCTTCCTTTTTATTAAAAGTAGAAGAGCCAGAGTAATATTACTTTGACCACGAAAGCATATGATTCGACTAGCTTAAAATCCTATAAGATATATTCTGAAACAGAAGTACCTAAGTTGAATAAGAAGCCCCTAACTTACCAATAACGCTGCCGTGGTTGACGGTGTCCCTGACCTTGAACCTGGAGCTCTTCAGCTTGAAGTCCACCATCATCCTGTCTGCCGTCATATACTTAACGTTCTCCTTCTCTATCTCCTTGCCGAATATCTTCACGATAGCAACCACGTCGTCTGTAATACAAATTCTCTTCTTTTCTCTTTGTCATTTTAATCGTTATTTCTTATTCATATAAATCTTTCTTTAGCAGTAGGGTACATTATATTAATTACGTGAAAAATTATGAACACCCATTTACAAAAGACTTAAATAATTTAATCAATTAGCCGTCAACTCAAAAGAATCTACCTCAATGTTATTGTTATCTAAAACCATAAGCATCCTTCACTCATTAAAAATAATACTTTGAGCGTCCGTGTAATAATATATTTAAATTCTTGCCATTAAAATTCAATACACTGTCGAAAAGTTTAAATAAATACGAGTACAAGAACGATACATAAAATCGAGGTTAACAAGTATATGAGACAAGTTTACAAGAGCGACATTTAAAATAATAAGTTTCTTCGGGAGACGACCTTGAGGTATGTACGTTAACCTCTCTTACATCATGGGTGGTTTATAACTTAACTGTGCTCTTGACATACATACATTAAATTGGCGAAAGTATATATGGTATAATCATCTTGTTTTCTTTTGCTCTTATATTACTCACCTGATGTCTGAATATTGTAAAATTTTTAATAAAATTATATTAAGCTGGTAAAACGTAGCTGTGATTAGCTACTACAGTTTAAACATGAGCCGGCTCGACAGGGGAAGTACTACCCTCTCAACGAAAATCGGTGTGAAGTAGTTTGTGACGTCTCGTTTCGTACCATGAGTGAGAAAGTTTCTCACTTATGGTTACGCTTTCTCTTTTTTTCCCCTTTTCCTCTCCCTGTTTTACAATGAATGTAGGCGACGTCTCCACAACATTTATGTTGCACATGCCAATGAGCGACGGTGACTACCTTCCTTCAGGTAGGCCGTTTACTACCTTTGATATTAAAAAAAACTCCTGTAATATACAGATACTAACTGAATGAAGCCCAGAAGTCTCCCTGTGAGCGGACGGGGAAGAGAAGAACTTGTCCCATCACTTCGTAGTGACCGGTGACTTCGATGCGAGGTAGAACCAGGCCCATGTCGATTCTCAACTTTTTCAAATCAGATCTGCAATTAATTGGCGATTCGTGTAAAGTATCACATTAAAAACTCTGTTACGATCTATAACCCAAGGCTTATTAGATTCAAAAATTATATTTTTCTACATATTGAGATTTAAAAGAGTTAAAGAACATTCTTTTAGATAAAAACTATGAAGTAGTTTTAGTTTGATAACGAGTAAAAGACACAAAGAGGTAGGATAAATATATATACAAATAATATAATACATATTTAACTAAATTCTTCTCTCCGATGCTAAAATAAAAAAAAAATGATTTATTTAAAAAAAGCTCAAGAAAACATACGCATCTCACAAATCTCACATACTCCAAAACAATGCTGTATGATAGGAACAAGACAAACCTATGCGACAAAAGTATTTACCATGAATTTTATGTCCCCTAAAGTGGATAATAATCTCAGCTTGACATACATTAGGTATTGTGTTGTCATACTGAATGAGATGTAATTATTATATATTGCATTGTATATTGTCTCCTTTTCGAATATTTTATGATAATAGACTGTTGAAATCGTAGTTATTAGAAAAATATTGCGACTATTTAAAACGACAAATTTACGAGCAACTATCAGTTGAACGAGCTCGTCCAACTTAATGTTGATTTTCACCAAACATTGTGCAAGACGGATTAGCGACTGTCAAAGCTGATTACAAAATCTTTAGCGTTTTTATCATTGCTTAAGACTCTGAGTGATCAGAGTCTTTAAAAAGAATATGAGTTTATTTTCTTAAATTAAGACTTTTATGTACTTGCAGATCAACGGATAAATAATAATTTTGGATGACGAAAAATATGTTTAATATAGCGGTAACGCTTACTTGAGTATATATGTTGTTTGACATTACCTAATTTTAGTGACAGTATAATTACTAGGTCCAACTACAGTGATGTTGCTGAAGGTTGCTCTCACTCGTACTGGTCCAGCATCATTTTCCATCACCAGTTTGTCTATAAACAAAGGCTCAACTGGTGGGACGTCCAAATCCGTTAGACCTCTCGCTAGGTAGGGTCGTAAGTGATTGAAGGATCTCTTTATACAGTTGTCCAAGTCTGGATCGCTGCGACTGCATGGTAGCAGATATTCAGCTGAAAAGTAGAAATATATTTTAAAGACTTTTCTATATAAATTCCTTTATGAACATGTTGAGACTGCTTTTCGAATTTATGTTATAATAGTGTAATCCTATATTGGTCATAATTTTTCCATTATACTGTAAAATTTTATAACATACTGTAACACTGTTCGATTGCCAAATGGAACAATAAATAAATAAATAAAAACATTTTGATACATTTCTTAGTATTTTAAGTTCTTATGAAAATTTGATTTAATATTTGGTGGATTATTTGTGGGACAATAATAAATAACGCCTGCAATAACATCGTGCGTCATCAAGTGTAATAGTTGCTACCGAATAATTGCAGCTAATGTGGTAACTATGTATGGAAATTATGACTTACACTGTATTACAGTGTAGTATTAAATAATAACTACTTAAACAAAGTTTACTGGATGTATTATTTCAAAATCATTATCATTTCATTTTGCTCTTTGTGGCATGAATGTTTATGTCGTATATTGTATCATAAATTTGCATTAAATATAACAAAATTAGCAAATTTATATTTAAGTTTTGACAATATTTTCATTGCCATTTTAATGTAAATAATCTTTTTCTTAATTATCAAGTTAGAATTAACAGACTTCTATTAAAAAATCGAAAGATCGCCTTGTAAAAGTAAAAAGACGGACTCACAGATTTAAAAAATTGATTCAATCTCGGTATAAGTAACCAAAAGTGTGAAAAATAGTAGTTATTATTATTCACTACACGAAATTTTATACATTATCTTTATAAATAAATAACTAAAATTTTGGTTAATAAATTCTATACATAAAAAGCTATTTATATTTGTATATTTTCGTTCGAGATGAGTCAATTTAAATGTCGTAATACAGGCAATATATTTGTCACTATGACAGGTGTTATATAATATGATGTATTTGTGTTGTGAGGTGAAATGGTCACTTGTGGCAAGGTGATGGACCCGATGGCACAGTTTATCTTGTCCACAGTAAATAAGTAAAGAACTTTCTATGTGAGAGAACGTAATACAAAATGAGAAATTCACTATAGTGTGAATCCGTTAAAAATTACTAAGAAATTTTACTTTCAATCTAATAAAATCAATGGATAAGAAGATTGCATATTTTATTCGACGTTGTTTCAAAAGATTTGTATTTATGTAACTCAATTTATTTAATGAAATAAATGTTTTGTAAGTATATTTATTAATATCAGATTAAGTTTTGCTTTTATTATCGAACTAGCTTTACGCCCGCGGCTTCGCTCGCGTCGAGTTCGATTATATCGCGTGTCCAAGAGAACTTCTAAAAAATCTGGGATAAAAACTATCCTATGTTCTTTCTCAAGGTCAACTTTAACTCTGTACCAAATTTTATTGAAATCAGTTCAGTAGTTTAGACGTGAAAGCGTAACAGACAGACAGAGTTACTTTCGCATTTATAATATTAGTAGTGATAGTAGGGATTAGTAGGGATCATCACATAGTGTTTTGAATTTAAACAGCAAAATTAATCCCAAACATAAAAAAAAATATATAAGAGTTTTGCAAACAGACGTAGCGTTACGAAATCGAACGATTAAGACAAATCGAGCAAAAACAAAAAAATATAAAAAAATTAAAAACAAAACCACTTTGAACTTGAACGATTTTATTTGTCCAACAAACTGTTGCACAAGGTCAGTTACACAGGCTTATGTAAGCGACACGGAAACCCACTTCCAAAGAAATTCGCATACGTGATGCAAAACTATTGCCAGATAAAATTTATTCAAATGATCTTGACTTCTATGAGAATATTTTAAATTATTAATCTATTAATTATTATTAAATCGAGGCACTATTTCATAGTTTTGATTGTTACAAAATGGTTATAGCTTTTTCAAATGTTCGTATATAAAATTACATAATTTATTTAATATCAGTCATTATTAATAATTGCGAAATTATTACTTTAAATATCATCGTCTTTATTAAAGAGATCAGAAAAAATCTTTTTGAATATAACCCTAAATACATATATATTGACATACAAATCGATGAGGTAATGTTAAATAAATATTATTCTTATTTAAACGGAATTATTTTTAAATAATATTTATTAAATATATAGTCGAATAACATACTTTTTTCACGTTTGTAGGTAACTCGTATCACGTCAGCTGAAGCTATATAAAAATGTACCACAAATCTTAAATAGCCTAAGAATTAATACATTTATTTTTGGACATTGCAATTTGCTGCCTAAATTAATTGCAAAGTGATTAAAATAATATGGAATATTATTTTAGGACCATGTCAAATAGCCTATAACAAACAATGACTTACATAGAGAGTAAAAAAATAGGGAGTTTTTACAGGATTTTTAGTATTTATTTAAATAATATAAATGTTCAAAAATATTATTTATTGTTTTATTATGCAATAATATCGAGGTTAGGATATAACGCGGTTATACTAGTCCGATATACCAAAACTATGTTTGCATTTTCACACTACATACACACCGTTTTATGTTTTTCATTCAATAATCCACATTAATAATAATGCAAAGATTCGAATGAAATATGGTTAAAGTACATACATAAAGTGACTCATACTTAGGGTAAGCATACAGAACAATTAAAAAAACTATTCCAATCTTTATAGCCCTTAGTGTATTATAAATTATATAATATCATATAAAAGACGTTGCCCTGATCTGCTCGGTGGATAGATAAAATCTGGACTGTACTTTGATGTAATACAATTATAACGTAACGTAAGTCTGTGAAAAACAATGGTTGTAAACATAATACATAGAAGTGTCGTTAAGAAATAATACGTGTTTTTAAGAGCAATTATAAAAATTCCGTTTATTTAATTATACATAAATAAAACATAAAAATAGAGTTAAATTTCCGTTATTTTATTTAGATATTTTTACAGTTTAAGCCACATATTAATACAGCAGATATTGAAAAAGTCTAGACATTTTATGTTTTAACAAGAAGAATAGACGAAGATAGAATTTATATGAGTAGTCTGAACTAAAACATAATTTTCTTTCACTTCCTTTGCTCCGAATTAATATAAAAAATAGTATATTTTGCATTATATGTAACACTTAATTTCTTTTTATTCCTACATATTAAAGTGACTACGAAATGTATATTGATATTATTGTAAGACATCTGATACTTTCTATGACTGGAGGGTAAAAGTAAGTTGATGCCGAGAATAGTTACGAAATCTTTGCAAGAGTGTCAAGGACTTTATGAATTCTTTTCATACAATGAATGGTCCAACTGTTACGACTCTGTTAATATTGCAAATTGTAACCAATTAAGTTATGGATTATTCCACTGTTAATGCTATTTGTATTATGTATATTTTAATAGTTATATATTCTTATAATATGCTATTATTATAATTTAATATAATTCCATAGTGTGTAATTGTTCTTTGTCTTGACAAAAGTCTATTTAATTACACTCACAGTCTCACTGTACAAAAAAGGATGTCAGGTTCAGTAAATCGTAATTTTTTAAGTTTCATAATAAACACAACTAAACTTGTCCAAATACTAAATAACGAAAAAATATATTATACTATAGCATACAATTTTTAGAGCCATGAACCAATTTTGATAACAAAAGTCAAATTGACTATAACTCCAAAATTGCACATGTGACCCAAGCGCAATTTACCCGGTCATAATTATTGGGTCAGTGTCATCTATTTTATAGAGCGGTATGTCACTGTTGCCCAATACCTAGCCGATATTTTATTCGCAGCACGAAGTTCTCTTTAAAATTTACGTATGCTGTTCGTAAGACCAGCAAGGCTATGTCGTCTCTAAATAAATGAAACATTAAATCCAGTTTAAATAATTGCAAAAGGTTTTTTGACGTATTCATGATATGTTAACAAGTGAAGATTTTTATTTGAATGCAAATATGTACACTTGATTCTATTTGGACGTACTTATATGTTCGGTTAAGCAAAAATTTTATGAACGGAATAATAATCCGTACAGTTTTTAATAGTAGTTTTTCTGTTAAACGAAATTAGTGCCTTTATTTAGGATATGATATAATGATTTCATAGATTTATCCAAATACAACTGTAATCTTATTTTATACTACTCATTTTTGATCCAGGGTTTAAAGAATAATTAAAAAGGTATTAATTGGTCAATGGTATTTAAACTACCAAAATGTAAAGTTATCTTTCAATATTTAATTAATAATTACTACCAATAGTGCTACACTGTCAAGATAACTCACTAATTTAAAAATGTAACAATGTTCCTAAAGCAACCAGGACAACCTTCATACAAAAAAGGTAGTCAGAAACATAATCAATAGGAATCAAAGGCTATGAAACTACCTTCCAAAACCATAAATCAATATCTTTATATTCTTCCTCAAACATGGCATAGTAAATGGATTATTGTTATCGTATGTGTGTTTATGTGTGTATATGTATGTGTTTATGTGTGTGTGTTTGAATGTATGATGGTCATGATTTTTATTGATGATCTATTTGTTATAGTTCTACTTCTTCCCGATGAGTGATAATGATCATATATAGAAATATTATAACTGAATAAGCACTTCATATGCTACAATAAATATATCCCGTCGAAAGTATAGCAATTTTGGATTAACACTTGTAGCAAAAAACTTATTCATCAGTTAATGGTATCTTAATTAACTTAAAAAGAACTAATGGGGCGTAGTTCATAGAGAACTATACTTTTTGTGCTGGAAAATCTTGTTTCCAGCAGTTATACAATCTATTAAATCAAGCCAGGGTAGTCAGTATTAAGTGTGATTCTTAATGAGTAATGAGCACTTCCAGAACAAAAGGCCTAAAGTTTATCAGAGAGGCGATAGCAGATATTTCCCAACATTTAAGTCTAGACGACAAATTATACATATTCAACTTATATTTCTTCTTCAGACTATTTTATTGGAAATAAAACCCTAGTTTGTTTATTAACATAAATATAAAAAAAACTTAAGAAAACTTTTTTCATCCTTCCTTCAAATTTATGGTCAGACATTTTTTTGGAAACAAAAGTTACGATTCTGTTTGTTTCTTTTTAACAAGATCAATTTTCATTACATTACGTGTTTCGAATAAAATAAAATTCTTCTCTTATAAATTTAAGAAATTTTTCAAAGCTGTAACTGTATAAAACAATATTTCATCAATACGTTACTTTGTAGCTTAATCACTTCCAAGAATCAAGTTCACTTGTAGACGTACTACACTCAAATATTTATTTGATAAATATTACGAAAAATAATATATATTAGAAAAACAATTGAAATATAACGTCAGTGAAAATAAATCTTTAAATATTACTTTACTCAGTGAATTCTAAAATTTTACAAATCTATAGATGTTAATAAAAAGAGTTAAAATATGTTGTTTTAAAAAATTGTTTTGATAGAATTAGATTATAGGTAAAATCATACGAAAAAAAAAGATATTGTGCGAGAGTGAGTTATAAAAATAACTTAAACTTATTTTTGAAACATTGATGCTGACAAAAAATATAATTTTTTTTCATTTATATATATAATATAGAAAAGATAAAGACAATTAAGGAGACAGTATGTTATAAATATCCTCAATTAGTAGTTGCAAAGAGTATAATTGTTTAAACGGTCTAGAAATTTGACTAAATGAAGATTTTTCGCCACATTTAAGTCAATATTCTTGTGTCAGATTTAAACAGATACCTTTCTTTGTCTTGAGTATCTTAAGCAAACATTCAACGCAATTAACCTGAGATTTTCTTGGGTTTTTTCCCTCCTAGACCTTCTAGTCAATAGCATCATTTAAACTCCAGTCATAGACCAATATGACTGTATAATCTTCACAAGTAATAAGTTTATACACGCAAAACAATTTCTATAATGGTTTAATAGTAAATGAACAAAGGATAGAACAAGTAAGCTTCATAATAATATTTAGATATAATAGTAATCTCTATATATATAAAAATGGATTGCTGTTCCTTAGTCTCGCTAAAACTCGAGAACGGCTGAACCGATTTGGCTAATTTTAGTCTTGAAATACTCCTGGAAGTCTAGGAAAGGTTTAAAAGGTGAGAAAAATTGGAATAATTGCCGGAAAAACCCTAAAAACAGCCCTTTTCTATTTCCCATACAAACGTTTTTTTGACATTAGATTTGACAACTAACTAATATGTCAATCATTCTGTTTGATTGAAACAGGAAAAACCTGATTATTTATGGCCTCTAAGACGGAATAGAGTACGCCTGGTCAGCTATAGCTACATATATTACTCTTGACCAAACTAACGCGGACGAAGTCGCGGGCAAAAACTAGTCATTGAAATAAATCTTTAAGACGAAAATATTTAAAAAAATCGTATGAAATCTGAGCTATTTTTTATATGAGTTATTTACCGGTTGCATTCCCTTATAGAAATAGTATCCTTTCACGTTTTTAAGTCTAAAATAAATATTTTAAATTTATAAAGCATATTTTTATCATGACTTCGTATAACAAAGACTATATTACTTTATTACATAGATAAGAAATATCACAAAAACGAATTGTCAAAATCATGATGACATTGCCAAAAAAATAAATATCATTTATAAATAAAATTAATTATTGTAAAAGAACAAAGCGAATAATAACTATGAAGCCTACAGTTCTTAAAATAGTCCTAAGCAAATGCTGAGTCAGAATAGATTGACAAGGATATGGCGTCGTGTGTTGAATTAATTAGATGTTTTGACAGATTCTAACAGATGACCTGTACGTACTGAGATTTGAATTCTACACTTGACAAAAAATATATTGATATATTATTTTCTTGAACAAGTACGACGATATTCCCTTAGTTTTCGTAATTACAACAGATTTGTAAGTTTAATATGAAAACGAAAGAATCCGAATTAAGTATCTTTATAATTATGTTCCATCGAATGATTTCAAGCCTCTTATTAATAGTGATATGCATCAATTTCTTTCTATAAATTAATATTTACAGGCATTCGTATTATACGTAGGTAACAATTAACTCATCAGCCTTACAAAAGCTATTTCAGTTGTAACAAGAACAACTATTAAAGCAATCAGCCTTGCACAAGACCATAATGACTACGAATATTACCATATTAATGTAATTTACATATTTACCTTGTCATATGGTTTAGTAAAATTTAAATTAAAATATGAATTACCGAACGTGCTTCCGCGTCGGCCATTTTGGTCACGTGACCGTATGCGCAACAACAAACATGGTGGCCGCTCAATAAACAGAGTTTCTTAACGAAATCGTCGAAAGTGACCTTGGCATGGAGACATAAATACTTCGTATTGATATATCATACATAATAGCTTCAACTTTTTTTTAATGTTATTACTGACCACTTATACGTTGTTGAAATTATAATGCCAATGTCCATTAAAATAGTTCGCATAACGTCTTTATATTCCTCTTTAAAATTAAGTTGTTTTATTGACTTTATTATGTACATAACACTGTAGATCTAAAAATATCAATGTCTTCAACATCCTAATTTTATTTTAAATATTGGATAAAAACAATTTATTATATATTATACGAATTGAAATCGTAGTGACATGATTCTACTATAAATTAATTGTTATAAATATTTTAATTGTCATTATGAATACAATAAAATTAAGTAATTATAGAATATAATATTTTATTTATAAAACCTCGATTTATTCACCATCATTGACATTTATTTACATTATTTTTCACAATAACGACTGTCACTAATCAATTTGAAGGAATAAATATGTACGTAATTAATAAAAATAATTAAATTTATATTATTATTTATTTGGAACGTGTTCAACCCAGTATATTATATGGTTGGACCGTTACAGTTTAAACATGGGCATTAGTGTTGCGGAATAATCTTTGTATTATATAATAATAAAACGCTAAAAGGCGGGGGTCAGAGTTTTTCATCACAGTATAAGTTGCCAAACGTATATTTCATCAGCGGGCCACTAACCAGAATATAATAAACATTCCAATATTGCAAAATAGATTTGAATACAATTGGATTTCATCCACTGACGAGACTTTTATAGATATTAAAACTAACACTTAATATTATATTATCTGTGGCATTTATTGTTCTGAAACTATGGTATATTCTGTGCAGCAAAAAGTTTTTATTTAATTATTGATAATGGATTTTATTTAATAAATAGTTTACTTACGTATAGTAGGCGTATCATTCTCCGCAGCTTCCCCGGTGTGTGTTATGAATGTGAAACAGAAGAAAAGCAGCGTTTTCAAAACATAACGTGCCATTTTAATTTTTTTTATAAATTAATATTATAAAGTCAGAATTTAATTTTAGAACAGTTCAAACACCAAACATGAAGCACTATATTTTTTTTTTTTTCGTTTTTTTTTTTTAATTTAAGTCGATTGTTTTTCGTATTCAGCCGCGTCCGCTGGTCGGCAGATTCAGTGGGCAATAGTCGCGTGGTCGGTTGGGCGGACGGGCTCGCGTCTCATTCTGTTTGAAGTGAAAGCATCACGCGTTGTGTTTTATTCTGGCTACGTTTTCGACATCCCTCGTCTTAGTCCCCCCACATACACTTACAAACCCACGTGGACTCTGTTATTTGTCCTATTAATGCCTATACGATCCATATGACTGATCTGATTAATCTTCAAGTCTTGAGTAACTCGTAATACACCCATATAAAAGTTTTCCTATATGTTTATATCATGCAGGACAGTATGACGACGCCTGTTCATATTACATAAAAGTTATGAAGAAAAAATAATTTCTATCAACTATATAAAACCTTTTTTATTCATCGACAAAAATATTTAAAATAAAATTGGCTGTACACATTTTTTTTTTTTGGAGATTCAAAAATGGAATCTATACACAACAATTAATGATTAAGGACGTTATGCATACAGCCTTATCTAACACAAAGGTCAATTAAAATAGCACTCATGCCAGCAGCCTTTGTCTATACGCAAGTAATTTTTTATATATTTATTTTTGAAGTGTTTGAGCATTTTCACATAATACTTTATAAAACATCGTGAGAATCCTACGCCTATGTTATACAGATTACAAAATATAGCTTTCGCATCATTTGAACAGCCATGACACTAAAAATAAATAATATATAACATTATATAACATGTTTAAGAAGACGTTTTCACTTCATTTTTATGAAATTTTAATATATTATCTTACAAACTGATGAATAAAGAAAAGCGTGATCTATAAACCAAATATTCATTGTAATATGTAACACAATATAAAACCTTTTTTTCTTTGTAAATGTCTAATCTGTTTTTTAAAAAAAGAACGTCAATGCAACATTACTTACATAAAATAAAATTATAAACATTATTTTTTCAATTTGACAATTTTAAAAAGTAGTCTTTAAATTAATATACTATCCCACAGATTTCTGAATATTATAAATATGATAACCATTTCTACATATAAAACTACTAAATGCTCACTGACATGTGTCAAATTAATAATTAACTGGCTGGAACACATTGAATGTGCGAATTCATAACTATTACCATGTCAATGACACCAAATCTCATCGAAGTCTCGATAAGAATTTGTTTACAATAATGAAGACAATTAAAAGAAGCATATTTAATAATATAAGATATTTATCATGCCCATTTATCATGACACTCTTGATTCACTTAGTTTACATGACCCTAATTATTGATGAGTTTAAATTTTTTGTAATACATTGCTTGTTACGTACAAAACTATATACATTTTATTAATCATTCTTCAATGTATAACAACGGGAGAGATAATGTATCTTCTTCTTAATGTAATCATGTATAGGGGTGTTCGGATCGAGATGTTACGAAATTAGTTCACTATAGACGTCCAGAAAATAATGACGCTTGATTTAATAGTTATTATAGCGAGGACATTGTGTTAATGTAATTATTTGTGTGATATTGTGTTTTAAAATGGGCTTCAATTTCACTAGGAGGCAGTGGTTGACTGTTATCGTCATATCCGCTGCAGATTTCTGCAACGCTATCTGTGTTGCCCTGCAGGCACCATTTTTTCCGCATGAGGTCAGTTTGACATTAACCGATATATTTTTATTTTACTTTTTGGACTTTTTGCGGCGAGTGACCCTGAAGGATTTCCTCATTTCGCAATTTTAATTATTATGTAAACTTAGTGAAGTCAATAAATGTTTGTGAGTATTTTCGTACTGATAATTTTCCAGAAAGTTCGTTTATATATGTATGGATAATTTAAAATTCAATTTAAATCATTTTAAAGATAATCAGACGAAATTAAGTAGTTCGTTTGTATTAAAAAAGGATTCAATAAAGTTAATTTTGTAATCTGTTCTCTTACGTGATTAATTCTTGGTATTAAGCAAGTTATATTTCAGGTTTCTATTTCATCGAACTTCGCCTGGTAATCGGAACGTCTTTTAAAGATTTTCTATTGTAATAATATTTTATTTATTAAATTTAGGAAACAATTCCATATGTTAGATATTGTTTCCATATGTTAGATATTGTTATTGGACCTTTTCTGCTGTTTCTAAATAATCCTTACGTAAATGGGCTAACTAATTAGTCATATTATAAAGTAATCTTATAGCAAATACAACAACAGACAAATCAATTGAGTAGTTTATATAAATCATTAAATTCATACTGGTGAAAACTGAAAAGATAACCTTCATAATATTTTGTAGTTGGCTGATAAATGATTAATAAATCGAATAATTCATTTAAAAAAATGTATTTAATATAATAATTACTTTAACGGCGCAAATATAGAGAATTATAATTTTTTAATCACCTTTTTAAAAATGCTTCCGTATTTATAATTATCTCAAAAAGATTTAGAATCTTGAAGACGTGCTCTTTTAATTCTACTTAAGATTTATTCATACAAGTGTTAAAACAATAAAAATTTAATGTCATAGTTTAAAATTGCCTCAAATAGGAAATGTACAACTGTTGGGAAGTAAAATAAAACGGTACAATATTTTTATGTGAAAGGCATGTTTTATCGATTCCACAGTCCCCTTTCGTTTCCAGCCTAAAAATGATGAATACATGATAAGGCTTCAAAGCAATAGTTTTATTTAAGGGCGTCAAATATTTGAAGGAAGACTGCGTAAAAGTTTTTAGCGGACTGGTTTTATTTCCAATGGTTTAGAATCAATGAGGCATACTGTGTATGAAGCTTAGTCCACATAATAAATACAAAAGCTTTCAATGTAGACACAATATATATAATTTCATGCCAAAATATGTAGATTGTAGAGTTGTTCACAGCGTTACTCTCAATTGACCACGACAAATAAAAAAATAATTAAAATTGAGATCAAAGTTCAGAATTTCTACACTGGGAGCTAGATTTTTACTAGCAGGTGGCTTTATTCATGAGTCAAAAACCTAAACATAGGCGATTACTCTTCTAGGGCTAATTACTTTACATAGTAAAATCGCCTTGCCGGCCCTGTGGCATAGCAGAAGAGTGGCGCGTGGTACAGCTGTAGAGTTTTAGTCGGTAGTACGTCCTTTTCAGCACGAGAGTCCGACATAACTCTCCTTGTTCTCCTGCCAAGTAAAAGAGTATGCATTAAGAATTTGCCCACGATAAAGAAAAAAAGTTAATTACTTATTAAAAGCATTATATTAGACCAGGTCTAAACAAAAAGAATTTTGGAATTTAACATTTATATAAAAAAATATCATTACTATTATTTCACTTCATAATTATAAGAGAATCACATATTCGTGTAAATAAAATTATGATGCCACTCGCATGTTTTACCACACTGATTGGTCGACCACACTTCAAGAAACCCTAGAATTAGAATAAGATATTATTTTTATTAACTTCCCAAACAAAAAGAAAGATATTATGAGTTTGACCTTGATGTCTCTGTACGTCTGTCTGTAGGATCGTAACTCTTAAACAAATTAACCAATTTCATCCATCCTTAGTTTCATTTGCAAGCCACATTCTACACGGTTGTTCTATGAAATGTTTTGTATACGTATAGGCTTTTTCCAAAACAATGTAAGCAATTTTTTTAAAGCTTACTCGATTAAGTTCTCACGCTTGCTATATAATTATATGACAATAAAGAGTTGGAGGTTTTTAAAAATTGTACAAAATTTTATCATATTCCTCTGAACAGTTACATAAAATGGTGATCAATGGTCATCTCAATGAAGGTCAACAATATTTGACCCTAGCAATTAAAAATGTAAAAATTAACTTTAATGATCATTAAGCGGTAACATAGTTATGTAAATATTGTGATAACAGGGTCCAGGGTCGGTTTGATCTCGTCCTCGGTCTTTGCTTGATATTCGGTGCAGACGACGAGTTTTCTGTAAATATTATTGGTGTCATGGACAACATATCTGTATCCTCCTACCTCATGTATAAATATCTTAAATAATAAACTTCAATATACGTATACTTTATAGTGTTCTAAACTAATCTCGAATTGGAGAACTGTCCAACGATGACCATTTTTTTGGATTCCATATCCACTTTTAGAATTAAATAATCAGAAGTTTTCATCAATTCTCATGATATCAATATATCATAGACATCTCTTTTACAACAGAATATATCTTCACTTCGCGGTCTTCTTCCTTCATTGAATTCTCACTAAAAATACTAGTATATCTTTATTTCAAGATCCTTATTCTTCTGAAGTAATATTTAAACAGTTACCTGCATAATATGTATCATATAAGTACACAAGTGTGTAAACGAATTCGTTCAATATAAACATGTATATGTTTGCTCAGTAGGCTCATGCCACAAATATTTGAGTTGCTTATCCTGTCTTCTATATTCCTTGTATACGGTTCCTATAGTAACATAGCGTATTAAACATGCATAGAGATAAGGAATGTCCTGTTACCGTTCATCCTACGATGACGTAAAACTGATAACCCCTAGGTTATCGGAGACAATACAATTAAACGACGCCGCTAAATCAATGTATTTAGGACCAGAACAAATTAAACGACTGTAACGTCTTGTAGTACATTCATTAATATACTTTGTATGGAACGTAATTATCACAAACGATATACAGTTTTTAAAACATAACACTTAAGGCGGTTTCCTATAAGAACCCTAATAAAAAACCAAAGTCGAAACTCAATAGGATATCTGTATATATATAAAAGAAAGTCGTGTTAGTCACACTATTCAAGAACTGCTGTACGAATTTGACTGGAAATTTTATGGGAGGTAGCTTGGAATCAGGAGACGGACATAGAATACTTTTGAATTCGTTGGTATAAAACAAATGCTACTAAAATCCAAATCTGTTTATTTTTTGCCTCTAAATCGAACAGTTCGATCGGTCTCAGCTATACAGCTTTAATTGTAAGACAATTGTTTTTAACCCACATTAAGATACTGAAAAGATTATTATTAGACCTAACCCAAAAGTATCTCTGAGTTGTACACATATAATTACAATCTTTTGTGTCGAAAATTAATATATTATGCCGTACAATGACCTTTTTTAATGTAAATTTATTAGAATATTATATCTTATTTACTTTATAAAAGAAATTTAAGTAAAATATTCCTTGCTCGATAGGACTAAAGAAAGGGGTTCTAGATACGAGTAAATGAAATATAACTAAAGATATTCAAAAATATTTAATAAATAATTGTTCTGCCATTTCGGTTACAATAGTTTTTATTTAGTGGGTACGATGTAAGTAAAATAATAAGTAGATGCTAGTAAAATAATAAGTATTAAGTATAATCTTGGGTTGTCATCTAAATATTGAAGAAGACTAAAAAGGCCATTAAATATGTCATATTTGTAAGGAAGTAAATTTTTCGGATAAGATTGTCACTTTTGACATTCGGTTGAAATTTTAATGTACCCCCAAAGAATGATATTTTTTTAATAAATGAATGACTTGAACAAAAACCTTTCTTATATATCTTATAATCAAGAACATTAAACATATTTAGATATATTTATTATAATCCATATCTGAAGGAAAACTCACCTATTTATATTCTTTCCTTAGGCTGAACTAAAAGGCTGTTCAGCAACTGAATATGGCCTGGTCTTCGGGATATTTGAGCTGGTGGTGTTCATCATTAGTCCTTTTTACGGCGCTCACCTGAACAAGCTGGGCCCAAAATTGGTTTTCAATACCGGCATTTTAACAACCTCCACATGCGCTATATTATTCGGGTAAGTTAATTTTAATAGAATATATTTTAAATAAGGATGTCTGTAGTTAATGCTGTATTATCTACTAGAAACTGTTATTTCCTTTAACTATTATATATGACTATTAATAAGCCTCCTTTATTTAAATAACACTTTTAATCTAATACACTACAAATCAATTTGGCAGGTTGCTGGACAAAGTTGAAGGTCATATCCTATTCGTGACGCTGGCTTTCATTATACGAATAGTTGAAGCTTTAGGAAACGCTGCTTTCCTTACAGCGTCTTTCGCTATCATAGCCAAGGAATTCCCTAACAATGTTGCTACTATGTTTGTAAGTGGATTTATATCATTAACTAATGATAAACATATCGTTAATTATTATAATTAAATGATCATATTGTAATACTATTAACAACACATTATAGTATAGTAAACTCATTACAATTAATCATTTATAACACTGTAATTTTATGTTCATATTATCAAAAACTTAATTGACATTAACGCCTTTAAATTTGTAATAGCAAATTTTTTATTTGAGTTTGTTTTATTGGCAAAATCCTATTAATTTCTATGGTTAAACCATTTAAACCATTTATTTGGTTTATAGGCTTCTTTGGAAACATTCTTTGGACTCGGTTTGATCGTTGGTCCTTTGGTCGGTGGAGCATTATACAGTGTAGGAGGATACTATCTCCCGTTTGCAGTTTTGGGCTTCATACTTTTCCTAACTGCCATACTCTGCTACCTCACTTTACCCAATACACCTGACGATGAAGACATAAGGCCGACTGGACGTAAGTATTGATAGTAAAATACAGAGAATTAATTCAGAAAGCATTTTATATTAGCCAGAATATTCTTATTGCATTATTTAAACACACATTTGTAACTAAATAAGGATATATCTTTTTAGATTTCTACATAATATGTACATATATTTTGTTATATAAATAACATTATTTTTTTATAATATCATTATCCCTGTAAATAATTTATTTAATAGAACCAATTATATAATTTTCAGCCACAATGATATCACTGCTCAAGATTCCTGGAGTATTTTTAACAGCGATAACAATAACCTCCACAAGTTTGAGTCTTGGTTTCCTTCAGGCAACGCTCGAGCCTCACTTGAGACAGGTAAAAAAACAAAGTAATATTTATCTGGACAAATAAACTACTTCTCCCTTCAAATTGCTCCCTTTCATACAAATCCCTAACCTATTTAACAATTTAATATTTTCTCCTTATATTTTTTTCATATTATTGAATTTACTATTCATTCTTATAATGGTATTTTCCTTCAGTTTGAATTCTCGCCGATAATCTTGGGTTTAATCTTCATTATCAACGGTGGTCTGTACGCGGTGTCAGCTCCCGGCTGGGGCTGGCTCTGTGACCATCCCTCGATAAAACCAAAATACATTACCGTGGTTGGACACATGTTTGTGATTGGAGCCTTTCTAATCGTTGGACCAGCGCCCTTTATGGAAATTCCAACGTAAGTCTGCTAACATTCTTGTAAACGCAATTAGTTTGTTTCTACCATATTTTTTAATGGTATTTCCAAATTCGTAAACAGCTATGGTTTTCGCTTGATAGATGCCGATGTTTTCGACAAGAATATGCAGTAAAAATGAGTAACGAATAATTTGCTAACCCATATGGTGAATAATTCCTAAATGTCTAATGTCTTAGGGCAATCATTCATATTTTATATATGCTGTAGGTTATTATGGATGACAATACTCGGACTTGTTCTTCACGGACTCGGCCTGGGTAGTTTACTAGTGTCTTCGTTCTCCGACGCCCTCGGAACTGCTATGTACGTATCATTTTAATACTTTTTACTCACTTCGAATAGTAATATTGATAACCTCTCATAATTTATTGCGCATTTATTTCTGAAATTTGACCTCCACCTCAACCTCAGTTAAATATTTGTGATAAGTGTACGCTGCATATCTAATTCAAATTTAATTTTAAATAGTACCAATTGAAAATAAATGGAATACTTTACTCCAACGTTTGTTGATTGATCACAATTCATCTCAAATAAGGAAATTCATGACTACCATTTCAAAGCATAGCTCCTTGCAAATATTACAAAGGTTTTTATTTCTAAATATCATTCAAAAACTTATTGTTTGTAGTAAAAACAATTAGAATCATTTCTAATGGTTTTTTTTCATATACTATTCTCTATTTCAGTTCAAATGGTCTCCCAAATTCAATAGAGACCTACGGCCTGGTCTCAGGCATGTGGACCTCCACGTTTGCGTTGGGCGCCTTCATTGGACCCACTGTATCCGGACTATTATTCGATTCCATTGGCTTCAGGAATTCTACGCAGTTTGTGGTTATTCTTCATTTGTGCGTTGTAAGTGTCTTCTACTGAAATATTTGCAAAAAATATATAACTGTGGTTCATTATATTGCATCACTAAATTCATTGTCTAACACCAATGTAGACTCGACTTCTATGGTCAAGAACTTTGTGACTGCTATTGCTTTATAAATGAATCAAAAATAAATTATGATTAAAATGCTTACATAATCTTGTGCGTTATCATATGAAGATGAACTATACCGTACAATTTATGAGCAATTATAAAATCTATCATAGCTACCTATGTCATTAAGGCTAGGTAAATCTACATATATACATTTATTGATACTATAATCATCGTAACTCTAGATGGTAGCAGTGTTCCTGTTCCTGTTCTCATGTGATCGCTCCAAAATGGAGGTGTCAGTATCAGCTGGTGACCTGGTGCAGCTAGATGGAACTCTCGATGAGAGTGTTCTCATAGGAGAGAAGTTTATGCAACCAGCTACTAGAACAAAGAGGTAACTAGTTAAAATGTATTATTCGGTCCTATCCAGTTTAGTCAGTAGAATATCAATTATGAGACGAAACCTCTTAGCATTCAATGGATTCACCGTGCGGGTGCCGAATCTTTGCATGGAAATATCTAAAAACTTAAAAGAATTTGCGGAGATCTAGCGAGAAGGATAAATATCTCCGTATATTAAATAAATTCTTTTCTGCATTTGCCTAACTAATGTTCCAATCAAATTAGTTCGAAATCTTGACTGAGAACTAAAATCTGAGTCTACCATGAAAACACAAGTTTGAAATAATCGTTTTTTTTAATTCAACTTATTATTTCCTCAGTCGTCGTTATGGTATAAGCGTGGAACAGTCTCGCCCGCCAGCGATGAACAGTCTCATAGCTTGCTCCAGTTACAAGAATCGTCGAAGTCCTTGGAGCCAGCGTACACCTCGATATAGACCTTCATACGGCAGCCTGGATCATCGTTTCAGAGCATCTCTCTCCGTAACATAACGGGGCTGAATAAAACTAATTGGTTACATTATTTAAGCACAGATGGCGCTTTTACGAATTATGTCAAAAATGTTTATATCTACCAATAGATGGCTCTGTTTTAAACATTACGAACTTGTTAAAACTCCTCCATAGAGAGCGCTGCCGCAATTTATTTTCAAATATTTGTTATAATAGTTTTAAATAAATACCCATATATACATAGTTATATATATACAAAAACCAAAATTGCTAAGGTTATATAAGGAAATTCATAGAAATAATTTATTTGATGCTTTATGTATCAACATAAACTATTTTTTCAGATTTATTTATTTTTATACCAAAAAGTACACTCATATGATAGATACCGATTTTGTAAATACTAATTATAATATTTAAAACTGTATTAAAGTTATAGATTAATAAATACAAGTTAATAAAAGAAAACGACTTTTATTTGATTATAATTCCTTGAAACTGGGATTGTAGAATCAAAAAAACGAAAAAAGGACTTAAATCAATACCCATATAAGTAACGAAAATATTTATGCAGACGATTTTGTTTGAACAAGTAGAGTAACATTGTGATGTTACTTATTTTAGGAACGGATAAGTAAGAAAAGAAGTTTTTACCAATAAATTCTTCTAGCGATTTTTTTTTTCTAGCTGAACAGATTTGATAGTTATTTAGAATGAAGGTATATAGAACCTTAAAAAATACACCTTTTGTAAATAAAAATATTATTTTCAATTAATAATTCTATTATACGATTTAAGTATTTTGAAAGGATACTACAAAATATTAAGTTATTTTTAAAATAACGTTAGATTGAATATTCAAAGATCGATTTTACGCTATTTATAGACTATTAACTGAATGTTTAATGTTTGGCATTTGGTAAATCAAGATGACTATTAAATTATATCTTCAAAATAACTTTTACTATAAAACTACACAAACAGTATCTTTCTTTTTATACACCGCCGTTATTTGATCAAAATTCGTCTCCTTGCAAATTGCCAAATTACATTCTAATATTTTATAATTTTTGGCCTTCATTATTAACATCTGTTTCCAAGTGACGTGAAAAAGTTTTATATCATTAATTAATATCAACAATAATTAACATTTAATCAAGTTTTGTGGATTTGTAATATATATAAAGTATTCAGTTGTTCAAGCTGCGAGTATTTTTTGAAAGCAAGGACGTTCCACACTATTGGCTAATCTAGGTGTTTACGAAGCAGGTCGTTTTCTCCACGGCAAATAAACTTACATACTTTGTACATATTGTGATTAGTGTCACAGGTAAACATTTATTTGACATATTATTTAACATGGTTTCGCTCGTCTGATAATGTGATAAAATATAATTTGTCGAAAATTTACATACTTCTTACAGATAGAAGTAGAGAATCAACAAAGTAACAAATGAGCAGTATTCTCATATAAACATTTATAAACTATTATAATAATTTTCCAATATTATTCTTTCGATACTCCAAATTTAATTTAGCTTTATTTTTCTATCAGGCGCTGTCACTAAAATTGGTATACACCTTCTACCAGTCATAAAAATGAACTAGAAAGACCTATTTGTATGAAACAAAAATGATCCTTACACTGCTACCACTTTAGCTTTAGTTTTGCTTGATCAAATAATTGCGTGTAAGCTTTAGCTTCTGTTTTGTACAAATAAAATTAGGTTTTAAATAAATCTTTGGGTATCAATATATTAGTTTTTGAATATTAGTTGTAATTCTACACAGTTTCTTAGACTCCTTAAGAGGTGAACATGTCTCGGCCGGTTTCAAGTGAGATCGTTCACACATTGCTGGCATAAATTCCAAAATCATAGCATTCCTAAGCCTATTAGAGGATAAATTTATTAAATCCAATCATTATGGCAATTTTAATGAAGACGATAACTCATACTAAAAGTAACTTAAATCTTCGTAAATAATCAGTTTCTAGTTAGAGACTAAATCTATATTGAACTTGCAAGGAATGTTTGAAAACAATTAATATATGAATAAGATGTTGTGATTTGATAAGATTGTGATGTTCATTATTCAGAAGTTACAATATTAACTGTCATCCTCGTAAATACGTGATCAGTGTCAACCCTGGATCTATTTTCTCTCAATTTCCACCTTTAACCCTGTAGAATAAATAAAATAAGGACAAGGTTTACAAGACTAGGCAGAAGTCAGTACTAGAACTTACAAAAACAAAACATTACAATCTGAAGTAAAAAGGTAATTTATTTCGCCAAAATACGAGGTACTGATTTTATTAAAAAAAAACCTACTTGTGTCATCATCAATGATAACATGATTAATACTCATTAACCTTTTTATTAAACAACAACAAAACACTGTTGTTCTGTATGTATCTGTGTTATTGCTATGGGACTCATCTGAACGAACAGCCAAAGGCCACATTCCTGTAATCACGGAAAGGTCAAAGCATCTCCTTTAACTGTTGTATTACAAAACATATGTTTAGATGCTAACATCATTTACGTATTAAACGACATAATAATAAGGTCGTGTCGACGACTGAGAAGTTTTTGATTAATAAATGATATATTTTTTATTACTAATAATACTTTTTATTTAGCAATGAATGCTCAAACCCTTACGTTTTGTTGAAACTTACTTGGCCTGTTTCTTTTGAAGATATCTGTTGGAGGAAATTCATCAATACAAATTGTCTACAAAGAAAACTTGACCCAAAGAAATATGTAGAAAAATACTTTTGTTTTAAGATATATAACATTAATTTCCTAACAGTTTATTTGTAGACTAGCTTTCCGCCCGCAGCTTCGCCCGCATGGAGTTGGGTTATATCGCGATTCCAAGAGAAATTTTCAAAATTCCGGGATAAAAACTATCCTATGTTATTTCTCAAGGTCAACTCTATATCTGTACCAAATTTCATTAAAATTAGTTCAGTGGTTTAGGCGTGAAAACGTAACAGACAGACAGTCAGAGTTACTTTCGCATTTATAATATTAGTAGGGATAAGTAGATATTGATATACATAATAAGTTTATAAGTAAAACCTTAAAAATAACTCTCAAATCGAACCTTAATAAGGCTCTATACGACACAATAAACTTGACATGCTTGTTGTTCTATACATGTGTACAATCTTAACCTTTTCATAATAAACTATGGAAAATTATCAGATTATATATAGACGATACTTGTAACTTATATTATTATTAAATTCTTTAGTCGTAAGAGTTCTTGTTTCATACATTCGTTGTCTCTAGATTATAACAATAGTATATTAAAGATTAGAATAGTTCCAAATAACTATTTTAAGTAGTATCTAGACTATTGTTGACAAAAATCACTTCAACACAAGTTTTCAAATTATTCTTTTTTTACATAGTTTCAATCACTCAAGAAACGTAGACATATGTATTTTCATTATTACAATATCTATAGAAATGACAATAAAAATAGTAATACGATGCAAAAATTTATGCCACTTTTGTTATTAATTTTGTTCTAATCCTAAATATAAAGATGACCAAACTTGAACTGGCTCTAAAACACTTAGTCACTGAGAAAAAAGTAACAATAGGCAGCGGTGACTACACTGAAGCACAGCAGAGATTATCCTTGTATCATACAGATAACAGAAATATTTGGAATTTACGATAAATTATAATAGTTTTTAAAAGGTAAGACTTACTCCTAAATGCTTACAATTGTTTTTATTATGAGACCACAATAAAAACTAGGGATTCTAAGAAGTTAATTTAACTCGTCCATAAATCAAGTACTTACCAATTATATCGCTAAAATCTTAAACAGTGAAGAGTAGAACTTAAAAAATATACAGTTAATCTCCAACTATGGAAATATTATATTCAGATACTTGGAAATTCGCACAACTCCTTCTGGAGTGTACGATTTCATCATGTTTTGACTTTTATCATTCCTGTACCATGAAATATATCAATAACATCGCAATCCAACGAGTAGAAATAAACATGTTGCATCCCTTTCTAACATTATATAGACGGAAAGAGATGAGGATAACAGCTTGGTCGTTTTTACGGTATAAATGTATGAAACCTGTTAGACAGCCTCTAGTCACGACTGCGGGTTCAAATTTCGAGTAACTGAGACTGAAGACTAAATAAAGCGGTACAGGTACAATGAATAAACTTGTATATTCTGTGGAAAATTCAAAAATATTATAAATCACAGATTATAAATAATAATTTGGCTGAATGTTAAATTTATAGATTATAATTATTTTTTTATACAAAACTATGAAACAAAATTGTTTTATATGTCAGTAAAAATGTAAGGAATGACGAAAACTAAGAGATGTGGAAAATTTAGTCAAATATTATATCAAAGATCCGTTAGCCGCCATTATATGTGAACTTATTCATCTATTGTAACACAACACATTAGTATGTTTGACATTTAATAAAAGAACGAGCATGACATTTAAGAGATGATTTTGCATACTACTCTAACTTCGAAAGATGACTCGAATTTTGTGCAACATATACACTAAAACGTAAATAATTTTACTTTAATTTTGTTACTTCCTAATGGTACTATCTAAATAGGATTACCAGGAAGCGACAAGTTGAAAAAACGTATTCTGTTCATTGAAACGGAATCTGATTAAGGTGCAAGTTAAGGTGCACGTAAATCTTACGTCTCCACACTTGACGGAACCCCACCTGACGGAACCCCACCTACTGTGACTTCCTCTGTACAATAAACGCAACCATTGGCAACAAAAATATATTCTTTGAACAGTTTCATTTTTATTCATATACTTAGATTTTGCAATAAATGTATCGGAGAAATATTTGTAATGACAAAGTTATATTAATTTTTATGTAAGTATTTGTTGAGAATTATATTTGAATTAATTATATGTAATTCCATTATAATATGGCGCATACATTAAAATCCACGTTGATGAGTCACAAATACGTTTTTTTTAAATAAATTACGAAGATAAAAGGTTAACC